TTTTTTTTTTTTTTTGGTGCTTGTGTTTGAAGTTCTATCATGCAAAAAATCACCTTTACAACTACCTATAAATATTATTGAGTGACTCTTTGCGGGATGTGTTTATTAAGTCTCGTTAAAACCGAAATCGCCCGCACGTTTGCATTGCATCTTAACTTCTAACATATTCAGGTTAAAATACTTTAATCAATAGATAGCCAGGTAGGCAAGTCAGTTACATAAATCATAGCATGGAATTAGAAAGTACGAGGGTCATATGCTTTCATATATGTTAACAATGCTAAAAGATATCACTGTAACAATATGTGTAGGGTAATCACTGATGACGGCGAATATACGTATAAGTTCTTACTCTAAAACATCCGCTAATTTAATTTTTATATTTTGTAGGGACGAAAATATTAGCTATGGATCAATCAAACAGTGCATCCCGTAATAACTTATAGCCAGAATTTTTCCGGCCCAAATGAAAATCGAACTGTTTTGGTTGTATTGGTAAAAATTCTCGGTCGACTTTCATAACCTCTGATCCTCTTTCAAGTGCCATTTTATTAATTTCTGCCCATTGTTTTCTCGTTACGCACGCATTCTTTAACTTGGAGACTGCCGCTTTTCGTGGAATGGCACTTATGTGTCACATTTAAGGTTCCATGAAAGCCACCGTATGAACACATCTGCGGATGTTTCAAAATTCCAAAATTTAACATATCATGTTCAATGTTGAATACTGCTTAAGCCGGTGCTAGGGGACGTGGAGAGTAATTTGCTATTGCATTTTCCATTACCATCCTGAATTCGAGCCAGGAACATCTTTATTTCTCTTTTATTTTTTATGGTTATATACAAGAGAACTGGTGGTCTGATCAGACTGTAAAACATTGTGATAACAGTCTCGTTTCAATTGAATGTTTTTTAAAAAAAAACGACTTAAATGATAAAGAATTCGGACGAGGCATTATACATACAAACATAATATAGATATTTCTTCCAAAATCAATAGTTTATAAGTACCATTGCCTTAGTTTTGAAAGGTTTTAAAACAGGGATATTTGTAAACAAGTATTCCTTCACAATTTTGTTTGATAAAACACTTTTTGATGACCTAATTTTAAATCTTGACATGATAAATGAGCAGTGTTACACGCTCAATGCTGAAGTAGACACTTTCAGATTATAAATTTGAATTTTTTTAACGAATTTAAAGCTTCTGTTTCCGAGTGTATGTTATTTGAAGTGGTTATAGTTTATTGACATTTTTTTATGAGGCTTAAGTTGTTTTCCTCTTGTCAACAAATCAATTTGCATGTGAAAAAGGTTCGAGAACTTGTAAATTTAGCTTTTTAAAACTAAACAAAGCATTTTTATGAATATACATGTAAAGTATGTAAAACAGTATCATCATATATCGCTTTTAGAAAATTCTATATATTCTAAATATTATTTGATTTGGCAGTGTATTTGTGTATTTGTAGGAAACAACCATCATTTCTCTGTTCACACATCTACGTAAATGTATAACACGCACGTAGACGTAACGTATAAGTACGAGCTCATATGTGTAATCAACACTTTTACACGCAGCATTCGTACAACATATGCATGCACATTGGAAATGATACATTGTATACATATACAGTTAGAAGCACTAATACTCATTTTTCACACAGTATCACATGTAGAACAAATACATTTACTCTTAACAAAGTTGTACTCATATATACAATAAGTAATCAGTTATCAGTATAAACAATTAGCAAACATCTCTTTTCACTGCAATACCTATACATATATAGAACAATTGTAACATATATGAAGAATTAGTGTGTAGATCAGCAAATGAAATAGTTAAAAATAACGATATCGCGACAGTACCATTTAGCATAACGTTCATCTTTAAAATATGATATATCTATAAAAAAAATTATACACCAATAATAAAACTGGTACAGCACACCTTTAAATAGATGAGATATTTAATGGTCATGGATAGAATCAAATTTTGATATACTACACCAAAAGACCCATCCTAGTGAATGTATATGTTCACCTTCTATTAGATTACACACTATAAAAAAGCCCTTTTAACATATAATTATTGTATCGTGTGATATACGTACTGGAAGTGAACTTGAAATATATATTTCTATATGAAAGGTTCAACATTAATTGTTATATACAGTAATGCCACATTTTCTTCTAAAAACTAGTCATGTAATAAATGCACAAATGATTCTTTGAATCATTAAAAATGGGAATTGTTCCCACTGCAATGTCGCTTTGGCCATTATGTTATGTGATTTTGTACACCATTCTTTATGGACAAAAACTGCAATTTGTAAAAATTGAATTACTTTATAAATGCAAATTCAAGATTTCGTACCCATCCATAGTATATAAATCCAACTAATCACACTCATCACACGTGATGGGTTGTTCTCTTTAATTATATTTGATATACATTTTTTCCTTATATTGTTCTAAATATAATGCGTCTAATTTTCTTGTTTATTTCAGATATCTTGTTGAAAGATGAGGAATGTGCATTTATTATCTACCCTTCTTTTATTCACATACATAAGTCAATCTCTGAGCGCTGGTAGGTATATTATGTTCAATTTAACTTCAATTCTTAGATTATAATACAATCATTTAATTTCTAAATTTAAGTTTTATATATAAAAACGTTTTTAAAACGACAACGCCATTGAAACAATTGCCGACACAACTCGATTCAACGCAAATGTTCCAAAACAAAACGCAAAAATTGCATAGATATTCAAAATAAACGAAAAATAATTGTTATTTTTATAAATTTCGCATTGAGAGATCTATATTTTGTTTTAAACAGCACACTTTTACTTTTTCTTTTCTTACAATTTTTAGTGACATGGGTTTCTCCTGAAAATAATGCCACGTTAACAGTAAGTGAAGATGACAATTTTGAAACAGTTGTAGACACGCTAAATGCTACTGCAGCAAACACCATCACTTACACAGTGGTCAGCCAGGTTCCGGCAGACGACAAATTCGGAATTCAGAATACCAACGAGCTTTATTTAAAAGGAACGCTGGATTATGAGACAACAAATTCATATACGGTCGTTTTAAGGTACGACATACTTATCAAAATGTTTCTTTATAACACATACGAGCCGTATTAAAGATCCTGTAATTGAGGTTGTATACCACACTAAGTGAAATTTTATATATAATTATGTATATAAAATTATGCTTATAAAACAATTTTCAAACATCGAAGAATATGTAAAGTATGTACTGCAAATATGGACATATTATATGAAATCATTAAGATTTATGCATTAATTTCTTATTGAAAAGTTTGACTTACACTTTATAGAAAATAATTTTTATTACCTCCCTTTCTTTACATGAAATGTTAAATTCTGTAATATCTTTATAAATAATGCCTTTTGGAACTTACAAAATTGATAAATCTTAATTTGAGCATCATATTTATGATATAAAACCATAAAACATATATGAAAGGATCTTTAAAGATATGTAGTAATGTTCAATTTAAAAATTAATTAGATTTAAGAAAAGAAAACTCTTGTACAATACATGTATCGAGCTGAAAGTGGTATATTTAATGTTTAATTTCAAGCAAACCATTTACTTAACTAAAAAGCACGGGATTACGAAATAATAAAAAAACAAGAGCTTTTTTTTTTAGGTAAAATGATATGGATTTTCTCCTATTTCATGTATCAAGTATAACGCTCTTATTTTTTCAGAGCTTTTGATAGCACTGCTAGCGAAGATATCACTGTTACAATAGCAGTAACCGATGTAAATGATGAAGCACCTGTTATCACATCCCCTACCTCTGTTACTTTATTAACAAATACAGCTACAGGTAAGTAAAACATTTTGTAATAAATGGTACATAGAAAAATACCTTTATAAGTCTGTTAATCGTCCGCATAAATATTATTCGTCACAAAGTGGTATCAAGTTCGTCCGACTTGACTCGGGTGATATCTTTTAATGATCGATAGACATTTTTAAATAAGAAACTCAAAACCTTATGTTCATAAGAACTGAAACAATTAAACTACTTCTGTTAAATAAAAAAGGATAAAGACAAACCAATATTCATCATAAAATTGGTCACACAACATTAAAGTCACTCAGAACTTTATCAACATGTTTTCATGAAAAATTGCATAAGAATATCCGAATGTTTCATCTGTCTTTTTTATCAGTATTTGGAATACTTACGTTCTTGTAAATGTACCGATTGTAGGCCACCAATCCATTTTTAAGTAAAAACGAATCAGTACCCAATTCAAAATAATGAATTAGTACACATTCGTACTAAGACATGGCTAAAAAAGCAATGCTAGGTAAAGGACATATGATTTTCGCCATTGTAAAGAATTTTTACTTTGAAGACTGAAAAACTAATTCACAGATGCGAGCGGATATAATGCCACAAAATATTTTATGGTCAACAAGTCATAAAATCCTTTCAATTTTAATACGGCGAGTTTTTCGACAGCAGTTCGTTGAGTTCCGTAAAAATACGGAAAATGTCACGTGATCTTATTTTAGTTTTGGTAGATAAGAGCATAGTTCCCCACAATCTGTATAAGGATTTCCATCCTCTTAAATGAAAATTCCTCATGTTGGTTTATCTCACATGGCGCGGTTTACCCCTGCACCTATCGATATGCAAATTAGCAAGCAACGGGTAATGGTTGCCAACCATAGGCCTTTACGTATTTGTAGTTTATACATGTTTATGTCATATAATTGTATACCACATAACAATTTACATCTTATCATATTATATAACTTCTGTCTATATTTTGGTAACCAGCATTGCGCTTTTAAGCTTTAATATAGAAACGTTATTTCCATTGTTTTTTGTGATTGTTCCTTCTGAAGTTCTAGCAGATTGATAGTTTTACAATTGATAGTATTCAATTATAAGAAAACAAACGTTTTTATATCGTATTGTGCAATATATTTTCAGACACTGTGGTGTACACTGTAACGTCAACAGACGCTGATACTGTTGGAACGGTTACTTACTCTATAACTAGTAAGTCTTAATATACCCAATTGAAGAGAAATTTATTAATGGCTCAATTACTGCATTTCTTCGCACGACTACAATTTTTGACTGATTTGATATGTGTTGTCTATGTCTTGCATTGCTTTTGTCTGTTTTGGCCAGCATTTACAATACACAATTATCACAAACTCAAAGGCTTATATTTATTCAATATGTTAGTGATTATTTTTTTATTAATTCAATACATTATACATGGCACATATGAATACAATTAGATGTGTGATTTTATAATTTTAAGCAATATTTGCCACTTGTAACTTGTCTTGATAAATTAGTTTTACCGTTATCTTTGATGTATTTGTTATTTGATTAATAATTATATAGCATTCTGAACATTTCGAAAACACAGTAGATCATTTGCCTTGTATAATTGTTCATGATTCATATTAACTATCGAAATGAAGTTTACATGCATATGACACCGTCAGTGACCTACATACAAAACTTAAGCACGTGAAGTCATCAAATTGATTTGTATTATTAAACTATACCTTAAACAATTTGTATCTATGAATTAATATTTACATTGTTATAAATGTTATTTGGTTACTTTGCGTGTATAGGTGGGAACGACAACGGTATCTTCAGTATAAACTCTACAACAGGACAGATCACACTTAATACTGCACTCAACATCGACGATGTAAAACATGAATTAGAAATTCAAGCCAACGATGGTGTCAATACCGCATACACTGAACCTTAGATTTTACCTGAGCAATGGTACGTGTATTTTTTTCTAGATTTAGATAATACATGGGGTGTGGAAAGAATACATAAAATTGGTCAATGACATCGAAAGTACCTAGCAATATTCGCTTTAAGAATTGTCTTACTCATGATTGTTATATTACTCGATTCATTAGTCATTGAGTGCTTTCCAAACGGATCATTTTGTGTACATGTATATTATTTCAGGATACTGTTATTGTATAAAATGTCATAGTATTTCTTACACTCTTGAGAAGAATGCAACATGTTTTTAATTTAGACCTTATTGGATACAAAGATATTTTCATACTGAGTTGATCATGGAAACCTCAATCTTAAACTATCGTTGTTTTAAATATCATTTTTATCAAAATAATAAGAATTTTTTTCTAAAGCAAAAATAACGCTCGATTCCCATGATGTAGATAATTGTACATGACTATTAGAAAAATGTCTAAGCATTTAAAAAAAATCAGAAACTTATATTTAAATAGTTTTTTTAATTAAGAAACATTTTGTATTTTTCCTTTCCTTAGTTTTCTGGCGAACACCGACAGAAGGTCAGATGGATGCCTTCGCTGAAAACACAGCGCGGGATACAGTGTTGTTAACGATGAATGCTGATAACGCAGGTTTCTATTCCTTTGAGGTTGACCCTGGTACTGAGACGGATAAGTTCCGTATAACGTCTAATCGATTATCTCTAGAAGAAGAATTGGATTATGAAACAACGAAATCATACGCATTTACCTTAAGGTAAGATCATTTCTTCTATTCATGGCAAATCAATAAATAGCATTCGATAGGATTCATAAATATATGGTTAATTACTAGAAATATTTGTTTGCACCTTTTTTGGATAAGAATATGTATATGCTGATAGTCCACATTGATCGATAAAAACATTAATGCATATGAAAAGATTGGAATATCACTATCCACAGAATGTTTTTACCTTTTAAAATATAAATCAGTCCGATGTTACAGTATTGAATGATTCAAAAACCATTGTTCAAAATGTTGCTGTATTACATTATTTCATCATTAGTTTTTAGTTATTTACACCAATTTCAGGAATAATTGCAGCACGAGATAAAGTACTGTAATTATTTGCCGTTTATTGATAGCACGGCCAATGATGTATAAAATTTCGTGTCAAAATTCACTTAGAGAAACGAAAGTGATATGATTGAAATTACTGGTACATCCCAGGATGTGTATGCGTATGTGTTGTTATCATCTTCTAGTATATATACGCTATATGTTGTTTTCATCTCCAAGATATGTGTTGTTATCATCTCCTAGTATGAGTATGTCTATGTGATGTAATCATCGTCTATTTTTTATGTGTATGCCTAAATGTTGTTTTCATCGCCTATGTTCTGTTATCATCTCCTAGTATGTGTATGTCTATGAGTTGTTTTCATCTCATAGTATGTGTATGTCTATATATGTTAAAGTTATCTCCTGGTATGGATATGTCTAGATTTAAAGAGATAATGCTAGACCAATGTCAAGTCTTTATAATAATGGTCGGGACTAAGCATGTAATTACTAACATTATTTTCAACAAACCAGTATCATTTGGTACATAGTTTTCTTTTTATTAAAGAATGTATTCATGCATCATTTTGACATTATAGGGCAGCTGGAGGTCAGGGTACGACAGAGATAGCTTATATCATCAATGTGACAGATGTTAACGACGTTGCTCCCGAGTTTGCTGACACAATTGTTCCACTTGATCTTACAAAGGACACAGAAAGAGGTAAAATACAGCAGATTTGTTATCATCGTGTGTGTTAGGATCATAATTTAACAATATGTATAATCTTTATATCCACAGTATTGCATTTCCTTGATTGGCCTTGCTTGCACATTTTTGCAAGTTGCATGTTACCTTAGGCCATCCAAATGCAATACTATGGTTAAGACTTTGACACGTATTTAATTTCTGAATCATAACACATTTGAAATACATGTAGTTCTTAGGTAATGTCATGTCATTATATCATATCATATCATATCATATCAGTAACATGACAATTAACTCGTTTTTCCGGTTCTAACAAGTTTAAAGTATTCACTGACAGCTATAATTAAAAATAGAGATTTATAAGAGTTGCACCGGCGGAGTTGAATAGTAATGAATAGTGTCCGAATGTGGCACCAATCATTTCCGTGAATCCGGAACATATTTGCGAGCAAATTAAGGCGGATTCTGGCTTTTGGAATATTGTTTCAATTCATGTCACACATGCATTAAATAGGAATCAATATACCACTTCCAGTTGTTAGAGATAAATGCAAACAAATTAATGATAACATTTAATTAATAAGTTTAAGCTTTTTACATGAAAATATGTAAAAAGAATATTATAATTTCTGATTTCAGGCACAGTTATCTACACGGCAGAGGTTACTGATGAAGATACGGTTGGATCACCTTCATTCTCTATAAACGGTAAAATGGCGGTCTTACGCAAATATGTCACTGCCTTTTCAGCCAATCTCAATCTTGTACTTACATCTGTATCCTGAAAATAATTTATAACAAATTACTCTTCCTAAAATTGTCAACTAATGATTGCTTGCAACATTGTTTACGTAAAGCCTTAAAGAAGATGCATACGTATAATGATTAATAGGGAAATAGATTTATAAAGTTTCTAATGTCTCTATATTCAAAAAGGAAAAACAAACATAATAAAATGTATACGACTATTTGTACTGATTTCATAATAACTCGAAGGTTAACACCGATGCACATGTCCTCGGATGTTAAGTTTATATAAAACAAGACAATACCATATTTATGGGATGGACTATAATTAATAAATTATGATATATGTTTTTTTCAACAGGTGGGGATACTAATTCAGACTTTAGCATAAATACAACGACAGGTGAAGTGTCTCTTGAAAAGGACTTAGATCCCGATACAACTCCTACATACAGTCTGTTAATTGAGGCGACGGATGGTGTTGCAACTGCAACAATGACCCTCAGCATTACTATCAATAGAAGTAAGAATAAACATGTATATATTAAACTTGAATCCGAACATAGCAAGAGTCAAAAAATATTTGTTTCTGTTACCACATATTAAGAAATTTTCACGAGGGTTAAAATCTCCTTTATCTTCGAAAGTTCATTTATATCGTAATCGCCACTATGTATGTTACCGGTACCTAAGTATCTTACAACATATGTCACAGTTGACAGTAGAATGTCTGAAATGTTTTATTGATTTTCAAAAACAATGTATTTTATAGGATTCTAAGGATGAATTATATTACCACACGTTTGCATTTAAACCATCATCATATAACGATATACTGATTTGAAGTTTAAGACATACCCTAGAATTATGAACAGAAAAATGTGTTATATTGATTCATCGTGCAACCTTTGCAATTTCGGGACCATTTAATTACAAAGAAAAAAACTCTGCTAATATGAATAATGTCAAACTCTAATGATAAAACTATCATTTACTTATCTATTGCTTGTTATAGTTGTTTGGACGGATCCTGCCAAGGGAACATCTGACAGCATTGCTGAAGACACACCTGTCAATACAGTCATAAAAAATCTCACAGCAGAAACTGCCACATCCTATACCATCCGATCACAGAGTCCTGCCACAAATACATTTGCTATTATCAACAGTAACGAACTGGTTCTTTCTACAGCTCTTGATTATGAAACTAACACTGATTATACTATCAGAATAAGGTAAGCTAGAATGCAATAAACTTTGTTTAACTTGTATCAAATAACATTAATATTAGATGTATTTCAATCACCAAGAAAAAAGTTTTCACACTCAGGTGTGTTGCTCCATTCATATCTACAGTTATAATGTCTCTTTAAAAATACATAATCATGTTTGATGAAGACGATAGATTGACTGTTCATAGATTTTATAAAAATTATTATATACAATCATGTTTTACCTATTTATTTATGGTATATGACCAGGGTCTAAACTGTTGGTAACACTATTACTTTCAAAAGTGATTTCCAATTTCAAAGCAGACCAAATTTTATAAAACTGTAGGATTAAGCATAAGTTTTTAGGTAGTATATTTTATTACAGAGCAATAGATTCGTCCGGGAAAGTTGCAGATATTGTGTACATGTTAAATGTCACAGATGTCAATGATGTTGAACCAGTCTTTGAATCAGAACAGAATGTTGTAGCTCCAGAAAATACACAAGTTGGTATGTAAAGAAGTTATTATTTCCTTTGGTTATCAGACCCAAGTAGTACAGTCAATTTTCTTCTATCTTATAAATATTCATCTATATAGATATCTCCTGTTTTCAGTTATCAATTACAGATATATGATATCATAATATTACATAAGATGTTATCATTATTTAATGCAATGATATTGAGAAGTAAGGGAAAGGGAACCAAAAACAAAATCGGATTTTTTCATGCAAGGAAGCTATCCTCTGCTGCTTACGAAACTTCGGTGGTTCTTCTCACGTGCCCGCTCGTGCCGTAAATAATGAACTTGTTTTGTCCAAGTTTAAAAGTGAACTTCCCAAAATATTTTTTATTCAGGAATTAATGCAACATAGCATTTCTTGAGTTAAAAGATTTTAGTAGTACAATATATATAACATATCTCATCACACGCATTCGATAATATACTGATAATGTTTCTTATATCTTCTATTTTCAGGAGCAACGTTTTTCACAGTATCAGCCACGGATGCCGACACCGTCGGGACTGTCAGTTATTCTATTAATGGTAATATCAATTAAATATCTTTAAACAACCACAGCTGATATTCTTCATTATCTCATGTCATTTTACATATTTATCACATTTATTTTGAATACAGAAAATTATGTATTAATTTCATGAAATGAGCGGATAGGCCAAAGCGATGCCATGCTCATCGTTCAGAAAAATATTTTTATCACAGAAATTTATTGGAATCTATTAAATCATTTCTGAATATGTCTAATTTGAATAAAAGAAAGAATAAACTATGTATGGGAAGCTGTATACCATATTACACAATAGAGAAAAACAGAATCCCTAAAGAAAGCTTAAAACGACAAAATTGAAAATGTTGCAGGTTCGGTTTTGATTGAGTCTGTTCATGGACGGTACTGTTAAACTACCGTCCACTGTCAAGTAAAGTTTGTATTTTCTTTAAAGCTGCATGCCTCCAGATGACCCAAAATATTTCAAGAAAATTAAACTTGGAAAAACCATACTAAAACTTTGAGAAAAGTAAACAAATTAATGATTCTAGTGATAATTTATATCTTACGTGCAAATAATGACTGTATTTTGTAGTATCTATCACCATATTTCTACTGCGTTACTAACGCAGTAGGGGCTATTTATGCATATTTTGACCTCTTTTTGTTAATTTACGTGGATTTTAAGTGCCGATTGTAATGTGTCAAGTACGTTCTTTGTTCATTTCACAATATTTTACCTTTAAATACATTTTCAAAATTAGAATGAAAATTAGAATGAATCTGGAGGCGTGCTGCTTTAAAAAAACTGTCAGTTTTCTTAATGACACTGTATATGTATAGTGTGACTGCCTATAGTGTGTAGAGTTTTAAACATAACATATCAAATGCCATGTCAAAACATATTTATTTTATATTAACAAAGAGACTATGTAGCAATTATCAGTATTGTCTAATATCAAATTTGAGCAAATTTTAATTTTAATTTAGTAAGGTCATTTCATTATGTTTTCAGCTGGAAACGACGGGGGCTACTTTACTATAAATTCATCTTCTGGAGAATTATCTTTAGCTAAAGAATACAAAGTAAATGACACAAGTGATTTGAATGTTGGATTATCCATCGAAGCAACCGACTCTGTAAATAGTGTTACCCAATCACTATCAATAACGTTCAAATCAGGTAATAAATTAACACACTTTTTTTATTAATAAAAAAGTGTTTTATATATAATTACGCAACTGTTCTAACTAAACTCCGCCAATAGTCGTTAACCATTTATTATTTGTAAGTACATATGTAGAATTACTGGATTAAAGTAGTGTTTGATTTATTTTTATATCAGTATACAACTTTTACATTTATTATTTACATGGTTTGCCAAAGTTGTTTAACGTATTAACAATTCACTATTTTGATGCTATAATAGTTATCACTATTGTATCTTGATGTTGGACTTTTGGTAGGTATTTATCGCTATTTTGTATGGTCATGTTTGTAAAAGTAAGACAATTCATGAAGTAGACGTTGTAAAGTGCCAATCATTACTGGATCAACATCAGTAACGATTCTGTTTTTATTTTTCTCAAGTCCCTCGTCTAAGTCTTGGTCCACAGACAATCACCGAGAATGTGGATACATCAGGAGGATATGAAGTACTGGCACTAGCATCAACTGACGTTGATGGTGATCTTAATCCTGAATTCACTATTCTAAGTGAAAGTCATCCTGGTACATTCTCTATCAGTGATGATAACACAAAGCTTATCACTACCGCATCATTTGATCGTGAAGATGTAGATCAATATAATGTTACAATCAGGTGAGTTTATTTTATTTTGAGTACATTTCAACAAACGATACACATTCATCAAGTTTGTTAATCAAATGACATAATAAAGAGATACTCGAATGCTAAGTGAGAAGGTGATATTTCTCTCTATCCGCAAAATACTAGTGTACATTGCACCTATTTCATAAATCTGAATTAAACACACAAAAAAAGTCATAGACCTAAATTAAAGTAAAGTTCGTCTGATGTTGCACAATCTGCCCGCACAATACTTTCGTTACTGTTTGTATCAGTTTACAATTATCATATTGGGCAGCATGGTAAAAGGTGTACAATAAATATCTTGATAAAGTATGATCCCTCGGAGGCACTAATGCATAGATCCCTGACCTGTCCAATTTTAATGTATTTGAGTATTATTTGCGATAAAATAACCTGTTTGTTTAACAGCGCTTTGAATCGCGCACATGTCAAGGTTTGGTGTAAAAAGTCTCTTGTTATTTCAAGATCTGAAAGATCAGGAGTCAGGGATTATCATCTTAAATGACAGTTTTTTCTACAATATATTAATTGTATTTTTTTAGGGTTAAACTGATTCGTCCCAGTTCAAGTTATCGTCTGAAGAGACAGTGGTTGTAACGGTAGAAGACGAGAATGACGTAGCGCCAAATATCACTTCCTCTTCGTATATAGAATTAGCAGACGATACAACTGTTTCAAGTATGTAAATCTTCAGTTGTTTTGAGGTTCCTGGTAATTCTTATTATTATTTGTCATAACAACATATATCAACATATCAGTAATTTGCAATGATAAATATCATACAGAAAGATGCTTTCAAACTTTTCAGCAAAAGAGGAAAAAAGTGTTCATTAAGCCTTTTTGGTCCACGTTTACTGCCGGAAAAAGACCTCATGTGCTCTCCGCGTGCATTTTTTTCAGGCACGAACAGGTACTCGCGTTCTATATGAACCCCTACGACGTTTATTAAGCCTCTTGGCCTTATTTGGTAGCTTGATTCTGTTGAATATAACGCAATAGTCTATACACGGCGGTGAGTTTGCAAGTGGTTTGAATGAATCCCTGGTCGTTACGGCTTCTGTTATTTAAAGGAAACGTAACTAGTAATATATTCCGGATGGATGTAAGGTGTAAGTATGTCCATATAAGGACTAATCTTTTCTCGTCTTCTTTTTCAGAATTTCTGCGTTTGTTTTATACGACAAGAGCAGACGATCCAGATCTGATCGGAACTGTTACTTTCTCAATCACAGGTAGGTTATCTGAACTTGATTTGTAATTACGTTAACTAAATTTTTGAAGTGGAATTTTTATTGAATACATATTGTCTAAATAAGGAAGCATAATTTCATGTTATTGTTATTTCGTGCTGTTATCATATACGTTTTCAAACGATTGGATTAGATGTATTTGCAATGATTAAAATGTGAACTATCCATCTTTATATTCTTGTGTTAAATTCCTTAAAATATGATGATTATATATATATATTCAGTTTATATCTTTATGCTCAATCTTAAGTGTCCTCCTCTATATTACTTGTTATTGACGTCTTGATAACAATTCATAATTTTACTTCGGCAGCTGGGAACACGGCTAATACGATTTTATAAATGAACTTCAAATGGAGTCAGATGTATTAATGCCTTAGATGGTTCGTCGACACCTTCATATACTTTAACAATCGCCGCGAATGACACGGAAAACACGACCCCCTTTAATTTAACAGTCAGAGTTATAACAGGTATTTGAATTTACAAACTCTCAAAGTTTATATAGATAACTTTTTTGAATAGTCTTTTTCAAGCTTTTTAGAGTATTTCAGATTTATTCATCTGATTTTTAATCTGATATATGATGTGATAGCCCATTTCTTTCAATTGAAAGCATCAAATTTCGATTATCTTAATAATACAAAGATTAGATCTGCCTTTGTGACACACACGATTGTTTGGATGGGTAATGGGAGGATAGTGATGTGTGTTGACACCTGATTTTCTACTGCAAGTGAAATTGAGGCATGGGAAAATAAATGAAGTTGAGGCGTGGGGAAAATAAGTGAAGTAGATTCGTGGTAGAAATAAGTGAAGTTGAGGCGTGGGGGGAAAAAAGGGAAGTTGAGGCTTGGGGGAAAATAACTGAAGTTGAGGCGTGGGGGGAATAACTGAAATTGAGGCGTGGGGAAAATAAGTGAAGTTGTGGCGTTGGGAAAATTTTAAGTGAAGTTGCTTTTAGAAACAGGCTTTTTTCACATACATCTTGTCTAAACATTGATTCGTAAACAAAGGCTGTCCAGTGTAGAATATTTATCTGTATTACATAGGGTCTCTAATTCACAATTGTCCTTTATATGTTTAACGTGCTTTTTATGATAGTATTTTTTACTAAAGTTTAATTGTTTTCAACAATTTCAACTACAAAATGTCTTGGACATTCATATTGATCCAGTTTTTTTGTTGCCTGTTTTATTTAACTTAATTTGAAATGTACACCATTATCATTCCAGGTTAGTTTAGTATATTTCCTTTTTCTTTTATATTATTTAGAACCTCAAATAGCTTTGCCAGACACAAATGTAACGATAGCAGAAGGAACCTATACGTCACAAACAGTGTGGGTGATTAACTCAACTGACGTCGATAACGATGCAGACCCATCGTTTGCAATTATTTCACAGGAAGTTAATGGAACGTTTAGTTTAAACGGAGATAACACTGAACTAATCACGTCTGCAACATTTGATTTCGAGAATAAAACCACTTACGAAGTTACTCTACAGTATGTTTTAAATGTTTTCATTGTTTGCTTTATTATTCAAACAAAACGTTACATAATTATCTTATCCGTGATAATCGTTCAACACTAGTATAAGTTTAGCCGATGTCAGGGGCACATGGATGCGAGCTGGTATTATCCCAAATCATCTGTGAACATGTTAAATCAACCTGAGCCTGTGTCATTTTGAGTTTTGCCTTTCTGGCCGACTTTTGATGTAAGATATTGTCTATTATCTGCAAATAAGGTAATATGTATTTCACTTTTTTGAAGTTCATTATCATTACTATTATCATCATTATTGCGTATATACTACCTTTGAATTCAAGTGGCAAGTAATATAAGATAATTTATGCCTATACTTTCAGAGTAACTGATTCATCAACGTTTCAACGTTCTTCTACTACAACGCTAACTGTTTACGTCACAGACGTAAACGACGAGCCTCCAGTTTTCAGTGTTATGTCAGTTGCTCTTGAATTAAGAGAAGACACCTCAATTGGTAAGTTTTTGAATATACTAGTTAACACATGTATTTATATAGATTGCATTCATTTTTAGTGTTATAATTTTGAAGCAGAGTTCAATAAAATGAATCATTAGAAATGTGTAAACAAATGTTTTGACAAGGAAAGTAAATAGAGTATTCGACAGTATTAATCAAAGCATATTTGTGTTTCTGTTCCCTTAAGTAATTACAAAATTTTTAAACATTGAATATTGTGTTTAGATGTAGATAAAAGTACATTAAATATGGATACACTCATATAAGCATTTATTTGTATACTTAAATGTAAAATATTCTTATAGGTTTAGTTGACTACATTGCGTCAACGACTGATGCAGACACCACAAGTGCGACGTACTCAATTATAGGTAAGCATACAACTTATGCAACTTAATTTTATTTCATTTAATTGATTTATTGGTTGGTTGATTGATTGATTGATTGATTGATTGATTGATTGATTGATTGATTGATTGATTGATTGATTTGTTTGACACAAAATAAATAAAAGTTTGCTATTGATTTACCCTAGTAATCTAATTTAGTGCCTGAATTTCAAAAAAAAATGCACACCGCCTCCCCATCCCAAAGTTTTCGTTAACTGAGCCAAGTGTGTAATAGACTGCTTGTACATTAATATGAATGTTTCTATTGCTAAATTTAGGCTACGATTATGTATGAAAGTGTTCAGAAGCTTTCAACAATGAACAGGCTTGAATCAACCAAGCCTGTCACATTTTCATTTTATCGTTTTTGCGTTCATTCGGGATTTATTTTATTTCTTTTTATTTAAGATATTTTATTGTTACATATGCACGTTCAAGCCGTAGACACTACATATGTTAGCACAAGCAATTTGTATTTTTCTGAGTCAGATTCTGATACACTGATGAATATATATGTTTGTCCGTTCAGCTGCAGCGTTCGACATGTTGTCACGTTTGACTTTCCTCTCGGTATCCATTTCTGACGGTTTCCAAAGATTAACAGAAACACATTCAATGAAAGTTCCTTCAAGATGATGTATTTTCTGTTTCATTTTAGTTGGAAATACAAATGATGTGTTCACTATAGATCCTGTCAGCGGCAATTTAACACTTGCCAAAGCACTAACAGATTACGCAGAACTTACTTATAATCTAGTTATCGAGGCGAATGACAGTGTCAACGTGGCCACACAACAAGTTAACATTAGTATTGTTACAGGTATGAAATTTACTCTTACAAACAAACTACCCCTGTCAAAATAATTTTGTTAACATGATTTTCTGAACATTTAAAGCATTGATTTAAATTGGTAAGTATTTTAATAAGATAAGATATTTCACATCTTTACCATAGTTCTAGGGTCATGCATTATGGAATAAATTTTAGTACCGTGCAACATCACAATTGTGTTTTATATTGAGCTTTCGAGCGTATATATTTTTACTTTATTTCTATTTACTACGTTGCTTGATCCTTAGAGGTTTTATTTTCTACTTCATAAAGTTTTGTAATATTTCAAAATCCTCAAAGATGAACTGACGAACTTAAAATGAAATAAATAAAGCACGTAGCTACCTAAGTTGTTAATCAAAACAATCAAAAATATCATGAGCTTGACATTCTTATTTCGGTCATATGTATATATTAGCAGTGTGACGAAAAATTTATCGTCTGTTTCATGTATATTCATTCAGTTATTCTTCCTTTCTATGCTCCCTTGTGTTTGTGTTTCCCGAGATGTTGAAATTTGTCTGAGGATCATTATAGCTTCATTCAGAAGTTACTTTGTTTTCGGTTTTGAAATTCAACGGAATCGGTGACGGTGACGTAAATGAGACGTATGAGATTGTTTCCCAGGAACCAGCGGGTATTTTCTCTCTGAGCGCTGACAATACAAGACTTGTAACGACAGCCGAGATTGATTATGAAACAGTTAAAAGTTATAATGTTACATTGAAGTAAGTTAGAAATAGATACCTAAATTGGTTAACTAAGTAACGAGTAAAGCAACAATATATGTATTCACAATTTATACGAATATATTTTTAACTCGATTCCGCGATTCCTAGCTAGCAGGTTTCTTACCTTCAATTGTGTTTCATCGTGTTTTCTATGTTGTAGGGTAACAGACACCTCGACGTTCTTTATGACATCCACGGAGACATTAACTGTGTCAGTCACTGATGCTAATGATAACGCACCTGTTTTCACATCTCCAGGTTCTTTCGAAATTTCCGAGTTCGAAATTGCCGGTAAGTGACATAGTACATATTTTTCTTAATCATAAAAAAGCTAGTTTTTAAAACAATAAACTTCATGATATGCGGATTTGTTTCCTGAACATGTTTAAGTATTATAACAAAAAAAAGATAAAATCAACTTATTAGACACGTTATATATATTATCAACATATTCATATCTGCATTAATTTCAAACTTGAATATTGTAATAACGAGTGCTAAAATCAACCCATAAAATGCTTAAGAAAACTAGGCTATAACAAACTTTCGCTTAACTTTGCTACCAATTGATATTACTCATCATTGCAAACTGTGTCTTTTACGGTGCCGGCTAAAACTTTCAGTAAATTTATAATGTATTAATTTGTATTATTACAGGTCGGTTGTGTACAATCACTGACTTCACGGCAGTGGATACCGAGTCAACAGTGAATATCTATTTTATTTGGTAAATAATTACATTTATTACATCATTTTCAGTGGTCAGTAGTAATATTATATGATATTTTTCAGCTGTATTTTCCTGTCTGCCAATCGCAGTGATTCAAATTGCCTTCTGGTGTTCAATGCGATGAAAATATCATTCTCGGTCTATTACTACTGTGAACTAAATCAATTTCCTCTTTGTCATTTAGAAATTGAATAACTTGCATTTGATACTTGCATTCGTTTTTGAAATGTTAAATATGATAATATTCGTAATTCATTGTAAATGCTATTTTCATAGAGAATGATTCGCTCTATTGTACGAGCGTATACAAATTCATGTATAATACATGTATGTATCCAATTTATTATATGTAAATATTCATGTATCTTACATGAACATATCCATGTATATTACATGCACATATCCATATATATTACATGTACATATTCATGTATATTACTTTTACATATTACATGTATATTACTGGGACATATTCATGTACATTACATGTATATTTTTATGTACATTTCAGATGGAAACACAAACGACACATTTAGCATTAACGCAACAAGTGGGGAGGTAACTCTTAGTGGTTCCCTGCAGCCTGACGTCATGTTAATGTATGACTTACTTCTCCAGGCAAACGACACTGTGCAGACAACCAACTTGAGCGTTACAGCATACGTGAAAACTGGTACTATTTTTTTTTGTCACTAAGATAATATATTTATATTGCGAAATATACTTATAAGTGAGTTTAAATTACGCATTTGCATTTGTGTTTTCAGTTACATAAATGACATGTCAATAGTACAAATGACTTATAAATCATCAATTTTCTTGAAATGTCTAAACAAAACTGCTAATATAAAAGGAACTTCCAATAAAAGGAATTCTTGCACATGAATAATGATTGTAAGTTCGTAAAATGTATTCGATTTTTTCTGTTTCCAAATGTCAAAAGTGTAAACATTAAATAAAAAATGGTTAGGGTTGTGATTTATTTCTAATTTTATGACATGAATGTTTTAAAAAAATAGCCTGAATTTTCTTTGTAAATTATATATTTGCAGCGCCTAGGTTTGTTTTCCCGGTGAAAAATATTACAATTGCTGAAAATACAGACACTTCTAGCGGTGTTATAGTGTGGTCTATATCATCAAACGACGCCGACGGTGATTCCGGTGTACAGTATGAGATATTGACTCAAAGTGGTAACAATACGTTTGAGATAAGTGACGACAATCAAAACATTACAACAGCAGCGTCATTTGATTTTGAAACAACACAATTATATACAATCACTCTGAGGTAATTTTGTATACAATTTTTCAGTCCGTATACTTATATAATGTTTATCTTTTGATTATCAGGTAAGTCCTAACATCATTGCGGATTATAAAGTTTCAGGTAAGTCCTAATGTCATTACGGATTTATTTATCAGGTAGCAAGGTTGAAAGGACAGTGTATGTCATCTCATGCCTCGCTTGGTACCAGTACATGTTATGATGATGTCTCCAAACGATATCCTTTGACAATGCAGTTAGTCTTATGTTTGTTTAATTATTACGCATTCTTCTGTTGTTTTAATACAGTATTACGAAGAAAAAGTATATTTATCAGTCTCAGTCATAAAATATGCTAAGGAAAGCATTTACACTTATAGAAATACTATGTTCATCCATGAGTCAAAGAAATGTGTGGAAATCTATGAAGTTCTTATTGAATATGTCTAAGATTAAATAAACTATGGAAAAGTATGGGAAGCTGCATTCGCTATTACTGGTCAAGTAAAGTTGGTTCTTGCTTGAAATAAAACTGCCAATTTTTTATTGATTTTATTGACAGTATATATTAATATTGTGATCACCTAGGATGTATAGAATTTAAACATAACATTTCTAATTTGTGGGAAGTCAAAACATGTTTATTTTATATTTACAAAGAGACTGTGTAGTAATTGTGAAATTTGAACATTGTTATCATTAACGCCATTTAAACATGTTTTACTTTAAACTTGGAATTATTTTCCAGGGTTAATTTAAATGACTTCTTTAGCAACAATATTGCATTGATAAGTGTAGAAAAAATTGAAATAACTGGTATGCCGAAATTAAGAAGCCAATAGCACAGAAGAGGAATGCTTAGTCTGTACAATGTGAGGGCTTATCTGACTTTAAAACTGAAACATAAAACAGTGATTATCACAATATTGTTTTCTATTTTAGAGCTACGGACAACTCGACGTTTGCATTGTCGTCAGACGGAACATTGTTTGTTGAAATAACAGACGTCAATGACAATGACCCTGTATTCACATCGCCAGCATCTATCGATCTACCAGAATTTCAAGAAAACGGTTTGTGGTGTTTTTTATACAGTCGTCTCTATATTTATGTTATCAAATTAGTCTACAAGATTTGTTTCAAATATTTCTTTAAGATCTGTCTCTACTGTAGTTTCATTGTTAGCAATGTAAAACGTTTTACATGTTTGAAACCTGATGACTGACATGTTTTATATTTTATTTTGTCATTTGTCGTTAACGGGTAGACCAGTTTGCCTATAACAAGTAAACAATGTCTATGTTAAAGTACTGGTTATTACCAACTAGACATTTGCAAAATGCCAGATATAACTTTTGTTTATGTTTTACAGGAACCGTTGTTACTCAGCATAACTGTTGTTTATGTTTTATAGGAACTGTTGTTACTCAAATATCGAGCACAGATGAAGATACCGTTGGAACAACAACATATTCTATCACAGGTAACACAGCAAGACAAATTTACTCCAATAACTTTAACAACCCTATTGGTCACTTGGTATTTGGATATTTACATCCAATTTGACCAACTACATGTTTTGGAAAATGTATAATTCCTTTAAGCGTACTTTCCTCTTTTGAATGGTTGTCTCAATTTTACAACTTTTCATTTCTTGTTCTCGAAACACCTTTGGAATATATGATTACACTATTACATACACACAAAATAAATAGGTTAAAACATTTGCATTACATACTAAGATCGTAGCAGGTATCTGTTTTGTCAAAAAATATATAGTTTATCATTTTCCAGACTTAATTTCTCATAAAAAACAATGAATTACCTATTTTTATATTTGTTTTTTCAATGACGGTCAAATAATGTTTGATTCTTTACTGAAAATCAGAAACCAATGTATAAATATATTAATTTACTTTATTCGGACAGACGGAAATTGGGATGGCTACTTTTCTTTGGATTCAACTAGTGGGAATCTTACCCTAGAGAAGCAGTTTAATGCAGCCACCATGATAACACATAACCTTACAATTCAGGCTAACGACACTGTTAATACAGTTACAACAAACCTTATTGTCAATGTCATAACAGGTAAACTGCTGAAATAAATCTATATATGAAAGTATTCTGATATTAGAATACTTTATAAGATTTAACAAAGGATATTAACCACGAACTCTCTTGTATCAAATTTTGATGACTTGCACTTATTTAAACATTGCAAGATTTGTGAAAACCCTTCCTACATCAAGATCATTATTTCTTAGTAAAATGTTTTCTTCGTTGACTGCTTAGAAGCAAAAGAATATTATGTTATTGTTGCAATAATGACTTTTATAGTGTGTCAATATTTGCCAAGTTTGCCATTTGCCAATTTATTTATTTATTTATTTATTTATTTATTTATTTATTTATTTATTTAAACAGTTCCACGTATAGAACCATTTTTGATAAACATTACGGAAAACAGTGTGACAGGAGAGTTAGAGGTGTGGCCGTTGACAGTGTCTGACTATGACAATGACACTAACCACGTGTTTGCTGTTGTTGAACAAAGTGATCCAGGAGTGTTTGAGATAAACGCAACTGCTAAAGCTGTCGTTACAACTGCATCACTTGATTATGAATCCAAAGTCAATTATACATTTGTCATAAAGTAAGTACTTCTGTATCTTTTCTTTCATTTTATTTGATCTACTGTAAAACAATGCTGATCTACTGCTGACAATTAGTGATTTTGTTCTCTCAGCTGCCTTTGCTGTATACCTTTCACAAATACGACCAAAAGATTCATTGCTATTTATCATTGTAAGTAGTTTTACGAAATATAAAAAAAAAATATGATGATTTTTTTTTGACCGCCACCGTGGTCGACGGGTTAGAGTCGATGACTTCTAATCTAGTTAACTATCGATCCCCGGGAGATGTTTTGGTAGTTTAACGCGGAGGAAGGAAATCTAGTACTGGTGTAACTCTCAGGAAACTACCCGCCTATATAACTGAAATACTGTTGGGAAAAGGCGTAAAATGAAACAAACAAACAAATGATGATTTTTTGTGTAGTCCTGTTGTGTCGTGCGATACATTCCGCTGTGTAATATTTCTGCGAACAATTATTATCTATTATGTGTAAAGTATTGTTTCTTTTATCCATTGTACTCTACTATGTCAGTTTTATCATTCTGCGATGCAATGAACTTTGTATGCCATGTGATGCAATAGTTCTGTAAAATATTTTATTATACATTATATGATTATATTTTCTCAAACCATACATAGATTTTCTGAAAAAGTGATATGTTATGTGTTCCTTTTGTCTGAAAAGAAATGTATTGATTTTATAACATTATATGTCTCTTATGTTACACTATGTGTTGATTCAGTGATTTTAGCAAAATGAATGTTTTGTGACATCACGGAAACTTTGATTATGGTTTACTATAGGTCCTATTGTAAAGTCGTTTGTATCCTTTAACTGAATTCATAATTATTTCCTTTTTAATTTAACAAAGTTTCAAGTAATACAATTATATAAGTACAAGTTGCTAACACTTAAATATGTTAAGGAATACAGTAAGTTAATTTCGTTTTTATATTTTCTTAAAATGGCATTGGTGTATCATTTGAATTTGAAAAATTTATATAAATATAATTATAAGAGCATTGTTCTTTTTTTCCAGTGTAACAGATAACTCGTCTCTACAGCTGTCATCTACAGCAACATTTACCGTGTCTATCATCGACGTTAACGATGTATCCCCAAATTTCACATCCAGTACGGAGGCGGACATTTTGGAGGATGCGTCCAAATGTAATTATGATTGATACGAGTTACATATGCCAGCGTTGTAGAATTTTAAAAAATTATAAATGTCATTGTGTTAAAGTTTTGTAAATTGCATTGCATTTATTTGAAGATTAAGTAAGTGTTAGGAATTGTAAGCTCTCATTTAAATACTAGTATAGACTTTTCTATGCCAATACTAACTTGTTTGTCAAGTCAGTATGTTGAAGTAAATGATAGACGGGTCATATATATGCATGAATCTGACAATTGGGTGTAATTTTTCTCTCGGACAGTTTTTATGTTGAACAATATATTTTAAAACAATGAATCATTTCTCTATTGTATTATTTTGTTACATTAGAAACATGCAGTGTTTGTGACATTTTATCTTGTTTTTGTTTTAATACAGAAGCCTGAATTTTGGTAGTATTGTTCTTTTTCCTTTTTGACCTTAGCAATATTGCTGACAGTAAAGGTTTAATTGTGTTATTGATACATATTTCTTCTCTATTATATATAGCTACATCAGTTTATAAGGCAGAGACATTTGATCCAGATACAATTGGAACAACAACGTATTCTATAATAGGTAATTGTCTTGATACCTTTAACACACTTTAATGTACTAAAGTGTTGCTAGTTAAAATGTGTGTCATCCAATTTATTACTGGTGAATTGTTTTGTAAATTTTAAACAACAAATGATCCCGATGAGATAAATTAATAATGCATGTAAAAAGCAATATGGTTTATTACTGTGTTATCTCTTGTAAACAATTATAGTATCCTCTGTCATTGTTAGTCCTGTAAAAAAGCTATTTAATACCAAAGCCATTGTTGTTTACAGGTGGAAATGATGATGGCATCTTTGAAATCGATGAAAACAGTGGGATCATTACTTTGAATAAAACATTAAATGCATCAGTGACTTTATCTCATGTGCTTCAGATACAGGCATATGATACTGTGAATATGGCCACACACAACGTAACGTTTAATGTAAGAACAGGTAAGTTTATTAAAAAGAAAACCAGGAGAACATTCTGACATTTTTCCTCACTGATTTCTTACCATTTTATATTTTACATTACTGAGGTGAAATACATGTAATACGATTTTTATGAGCAATGTTTAAGGACTGGTTAATATAGTGAAATAACACAATGAATCCGTAATTGATCTAACAAAAAATATGCTAATTTAAAAAAAAAATGTTGTGACTGTACATAATGAAAAGATAATCTTACATTGTCAATGATGTACTAGACAACTTAAATTAATGATGGCTCACTTAAAGCTTCATATTTCGCAATGATCATATCATGAGCTTGTTTTTGTTTTTCTATGTTTCTTTTTACCTCGTCACTCATTTGAAAGATTGTAAACCGCTTAAACCAGTGCTGGTTGGCATGATATATGTTGCCTATTTACGTTTTCTTTCACAAACAAACTCAGTCAAAACCGAGTCTGTAATTTCATATAATTCTGTTGTTTAAATTGTTTTGTTTCCGATGGATCTTCCCTTTACCAGATTTCTTACGAAAATGTTTTATAATGGACCTTCAAACTACAAGATTTTAATGTACAAACGCATCACACATATATTTCTTCGTTAATTTTAGCTCCAAAAATGGACATTCCTGACATGGTGACGGTGGAGGAGAATGTTCCTATAGGGACAGATGTTTTGACTTTAAACTCGACAGATCTTGATGGAGACGCAAATCCTGTATATGAAGTTGCTAGTCAAAGTTCGGCTGGGGTTTTCAAGATTAACGCGGACAATACAAAACTTGTAACCAATTCTTCAATAGATTATGAAACAGATCAGAATTTTACAGTGACCATAAGGTACGTTCCATTCTTGAAAATGTTTGTACATATGAAGATTTGTTTTGTGTTTGTATTCCTGACGTTAAAGTCCATTTTCAGTTTGGATTTTATTTTATGTTGTCACCGCTTTAACAACAAGAGGTGCTATATAAAGTATAGATGGATTTAGTTTTTCATTTGTAACGACAGAGTCGTTTTAAGATATAGTGTATATAGTTTATATTCAGCTTCGTGTACTTTTATTGATAATTGCATCAAGTATTGTAGAACACTTTAAAGTATGTTTTCTATGAGAGAGTTTTTTAATTGCTGTATTAGAAATGAGAATACATGGACATGTTTTAGCTTTTTTTAATTTTTATTACAGGGTAACCGAAACCTCTGATTTAAATCTAACTTCAACGTCCGAGTTTATGATTTACGTTAGAGATACCAACGATAAAAGTCCAGTCTTTACGTCTGACAATTCAACGGAATTGGCTGAAAATACACCAATAAGTATGTTACGTTCAAGTGCGTTTGATATTGTTGATTTTGTTTTACTAAAATTGAATCTTTTAGATTAGATAAGGAGAGAACATTATTCAAACATACAATAGGTCTGATGAGCGTTACTTTGCGTTCCTTTATTATATTATTGAATTATCAAAACAAATTTACAGACCTTTTGAATTAAGTAACTTTGCTTGTTGTTGTTTGGTTTATTTTTTTTTTTGTTTCTTTTCTTGTTGTTTTTTCTTTCTTTCTTTTCTTTTCTTTATTGATGCTGCTGTCTTTGCTCATACTTTAAGTTGTGTTCATGACTGGCATATATTCATATAACTGTTTGTCGCGATTCATTATTCATTGACGTTTTTACTCTACTGTACATGAATTTTAAAGAACTATACCACATGTTTATATTTAATCAGACATTTTGTGTTATCATAATACATTCTTGTAAATTATAATGGACAATCCAAAATCAGATATAGATCATTACGATACATGTAGTCTGAAAAAAAAACATGCATTCTCTTTTTGTTCCATGTCCTCGTATTGTTTTTGATACTTATCTATTTATCAATGGCATTCTTAAAACAAACTTTTTTTTTTCTTAGACGAAGAGTTTTATACGGCGATGGCTGTCGATGAAGATACAATGGGGAATATTACCTACTCCATAACTGGTAACCATTTATCATGTTTACATGTACAGAATTTAAGAATTATCATATTTTTCGAACACGATCTTTTTTAAGAGAGAAAATTGCCAATATGAAACTTTCTGGGAAATTTTTATATATATGTTATAATATAATTGAGAAAATTGCTTAATGCCTGTGCGAGTTTTTTTTTATCAATCCTTTGATAATTGATAACTTTGCCACCGATTTGTCTTCAAATACAAATAAACGTACATCATACGTAACGAATTCGGTGTTGGGCAATTTAAATTTTATGATACATGTGGTTGAAATGTAAATGCTTGATTTAATCTAGAATATCTATGCTCTCCATTGCTTTCTTAAAAAGAATATCGATAAAATCGGTTGCCCGCGTTTCCTCTTCAAATAATCCAATCTACAATAACAATTACACAGTTAATACTTTAAATATATTTCATATCTATGTTAACAGATGGAAACGATGATAATATATTTGCAATTGATGCTGAAAGTGGTAACCTCACTCTGCAGTCAACACTCAACCCTACTACAGTAGAAGACCTGACACACAATATTGTCCTACAAGCTAGTGATTCTATAAACTTTGCTACTTTAAATCTTACCATAGCGGTTAAAACAGGTAAAGACTTGTAGCAATGTTATGATTATAAATAGCATATTAATGTGACAACGATTTAGTGATGTTATAGATATAAGTTAATACTGAAATGGTATTAAATGTCACCAAATTGATTATCAGTTAATGACCAGGTAGATACATAAATTTCATAGTCCTGCAAGTTTGATATAAGAGTAGTGTAAAAGATGGTTTACCTTCCTTCTCCCTTCGACAACAAATTTAGTCACTTGCTATGCAGAAACGGTCAAACTTGGCGTTTTGATTTGTCGTTACAAGATTATAATAAAAAGCATCAGCGAAATTTATACTCATTTAACTAGATACATGTATCAAACTTATTATTTAACGATTTTATAATTAATTTCGTTACAAGCACCTGTCATACATGTCCAAGACATATACATACCCGAAGACACGGATATATCTGGGAACTATCTTGTATGGCAAATCAACTCTACTGATCTTGATGGTGATGAAAATCCAGTATTTACAATGATAGATAGTGCTGGAAATACATTTGTAATCGATGGTTCCAATATCACAACCGTGTCAGCAGTGGAGTTTGACTTTGAAACAACTAAGAACTACACGATTATTTTCAAGTATGTCAGTTATTTTGAAGATCTTTTAAAAGTATCTATTATTAACCGAGGAAACAATATTTTCACCATATGTTTTAATTAATTAACCATTCATATGTATTATGATTATAGATTGAATGTTAAGATACCAGTTCAAAAATGGTTATGATATCGAGCAAATTCAGTCAATGCTTAAATTGTAATATCAGAATAATAGGAGAGATAAGGGGGCGTTTAGCGAATTATCGAATTCAAGTCTGATCCTGAATTAGCATCATTTCTACTTCATTTTTATCTTCTATTTATAGCGTCACAGATAAATCAGCATTCAAGCTTTCAAGTACAGCAACGTTGACAATTTATATCACTGACGCCAATGACAATAATCCGACGTTTACATCCAACACATCTCTCGTGGTCTTTGAAACTGCAAACACAGGTATACGTTGATTCCTTTCTGAAATTATATTTATGCATGAAACATTTTCGTTACGCTTTGTCAATGAAAATAATTCTTTTATTTTTTTTTTCGATTATTCATTGCTATGCATATATTTTGAATTGGTATCAAATTATCCTCTAATATTCATATTCGTTATTCATGCTCTATATGTAGGTGAGGCTCTCTATGTTGCAACAGCAGAGGATGTAGACACCGTTGGAAACATAACGTATTCAATCATAGGTAGTAATTTAATATATTATCATATAGATAGAATACCTCTAATGTCTCATTTAATCTAAGATAAATAGTATGTTATTAATAAGTAATTTATGTACTTAAAGTTAAATTTAACACGATTCTGATATTCAAGAGTTTGCTTATTTACCTTGTTGTACCTTTTTGTTTGTAAAGAAAAAGGCAAAAACAATCTTTTTTTTGACAAAATATATGTTTCTATGGTATCAATACCTTATAATGGTCGCGGATTTTAGATTAAGTAGTTTTGTGTGAATTGTGGAAGGAGATGCGGGTTGGTGGTAAATACCTATGCTAAACCGACATATATTGAGCTGTATTTCTGACACACGAAACCAAGTTTCAGTTAAAAATCAAACTCCGAGATAACAGTAATTAAAACAAAGCTTAAATGAAAAAATAACAGATTGATGGGTTCCTAGTGTTATAGCTAGTATGTGATGACTTGTTTTATACAAAACCAGTAGACCAAACAAGTAGTGTTAAGATTAATATTGTAAAAAGTGAAGACTAATATCACTGTTAATAATGATTCTTACGTTATTTAAAAATGTTTTACATTTCTGTAGATGGTAACAGAAACAGCGACTTTGCCATCGATCCAACAAGTGGTGAACTTACTCTCCTGAACACACTCAATCCGCAAAGTGTTTCTGATCTAGTTTATGATCTCGTCATTGAAGCAAATGATTCGCTAAATGCTGTCACCCTAAACCTAACAGTTAATATAAAAACAGGTATGTGAATTTTTATATCTGTTTATTTATCTACTTTGAAAAGATTCAGAGTAGTAGATTGTTATGATTAATGATATCGAGATACAAATCTAATGACAGGGTATATTGCATATTTAGTTTAAAGAGTAGGATGGTCTAATAAATTTGATAAATGAGATAATATCTTTGGAAAAATGGTTTGAATAAAAATGAAATTGACTCAAAAGAGTAAATGTTATTTCAACAGTTTATATTTTGATACCTTAAGAATACGAAAAATACATTTTGACAAATGTGCTGAAATGCTTTTGTTTGTACTTCTTGTAAAAGTATACAGTGTAATTCTTAATCTATTTTGTGCGGACTATTTGTCAGAAAAACAAGTAAACAATCATAGGTTTAAAACACTGTATCTTTTAATTTTATGCCATTATTTAAGCACCAAAGCTGAGCATTGCTGACCAAACCATAGATGAAAACACTAATACAAGCGGATCTTATGAGCTGTGGAACATTACATGGTCTGATTTAGATGGTGACCAAAATGCCACAATAGAAATAGTCTCTGAAAGTCATCCGGGTACATTCCAAGTTGTAGATAATTCTCTGTTAGTGACAAATGGTTCCTTTGATTATGAATCTGTGACTAACTTTACAGTCACTCTGAGGTAAGATATGTTACACATAATTTACTACTAGTACAATAAAACTGGAATAATTGCTATCGACAAATGATCAAAGGTGATTCGGATATAAATCATCATTTTTATCCATTTGATGATTTATTGATGTGTGTTGCCTAGTATTTATATTACATATATAACAGTGTAAATGCATTTTAAACGGTTGTCTGTCCTTATTAACTACTCAATAAAGTTAAAAGGTCAATAAACGATTTATCACTGCGCGGTCTTAATTGAACTATGCTGTTTTGTATTGTATTGCTGAAGTTATTGAGATGCATATATTATGAAAAAAGGAAAAAATTACATTTCCTTGTAACACATTCTAATACAAGGATATCCTAGAATGCGTTGCTTATTATCAAAAATGTATAACTAGATGTAACGAACCTGTTAGGTTAAGCTAGATATAATTGAAGGTGCAGCATGTATGAATTTTAAAAAGATGTATTTTGTGCTAACATATCATTGTTAATTTGTTTTAGAATTACCGATGTACATGGCTTGACGTCAAACGATACATTAACCCTACGTGTCAATGACCTAAATGACAACACCCCGGAGTTCACGAGTAATTCAACTGTGGTCATATCAGAAGAAACTCCAGCCGGTTCGTGTCACTTTACTTTTTTATTTTATTCATAATTCCTGACAACGAAATTATCAAGATAATTCCTGGAAAAAGGTGATCCTTCGTAAGCATTAAAAACAGCAAAATAGCATACAAATTGCAGACTCGGTTTGATTGAGTCTGTACAGAGTCTGTAATTGAAGAATAATGAAAAAAGTGCAACATTAAATTATATTATTGATTATATTTTAACAATTTTTAGTGGTCTTGTCAATTCCCCAATTACAATACACACGTAGCATACAGTTTGTATTTTTTGAAATAAATATGTGTCCTAAGTAATGGCTTATCTCATGATATATGTATAAGTAGTCATTAAAATGGTTTTAGCGTATATACTTCATGTAACGTCATATTTTGCTTGCAGGAACACCATTCTATACCGCTGTCACAGTTGACTATGATACAGCCCCAACTGTAGAATACTCTATCATAGGTAATGTATGACATCTTTATTTAAACACCCAGAGTTGATGACCACTATCTGATACATAATATTATTTATACATTAATGGATGTTTATCAATAAAGTATATTATTCATTCCCAACACTAAGAAAATATCTGGTTCTGCAGAATTTACTTAACGAATGCTGTTACATTTGATCCAATGAAAACTAGTTTCAGTTATTGTTCATTATACTGACTTCTAAGCAACAGTTGATCAATTGATACAAGAACTTTTTCATTTTGAAGTTTCACTGATGATGATTGAAAAGCATATTATCTTAATTGTCAAGAAGATTTTTTTTTCATTTTTGGGGGCCTTTTTTCTGGTCCTGTTATTATGTATGTTTGTTGTTGTTAAATAATTTTTATGGTTTATTCGGTAATCATGTACAAAACAGATAGCAAGTTAAGTTACTGACTTTTGGTTAATGTTTGTCTTACACGACGTCTTCTTAACTTTACAGATGGAAACTCCGGAGGCTTCTTTAGTATTGATTCCAGCGTGGGAACTGTAACACTTCAAAATGCCTTTGATGAAAGCAGTGATCTAGAATTTGTTTTGACCATTCAGGCGAATGATTCACTGAATGTTGGACTTTTCAATTTGACCATCAATGTTATTACTGGTAACTGATAATTTGATAGTTCTTTTGCTTCATTCTGTGTTCTGAATTTTGTTGTCATATCTTGAAACAAATACAGCTACATTAATTATTAATATCTACTGCATAACTATGTTTAAGTCATGTATAACAATTGTGTTGAAGTATTCATGGTGCTAGATGATATAATTCATTCTTATAAGTTCAAAGTAAACTTCGATCGTATTATGGTATAGCGCTTGACCTTCCGTTTGTATGTTTTTCCGAGCATGCATTCTCTTGTTAATAGGTTTCATTCCAACTCTTATTTTATTTATAAAAAATAAATAAAACCATATTAACCATTGGATAAGTAGTATATGTAATGGTATATATTTTGGGAAATTACAAATAAAGATAAAACGAGCCCAGCAATCAAAAATGTTGGTACGTCAATCCGTCTGTCCATCAGTGGCATATAACGTGATAAATACATGTATTTGGTGTGCTGTCTACAAACTTAATAGGGAGGACGGTCATGGTTAAGAGAAAGTCTGTGTCCATGAGATTTATTTCGAAAGGAAATCCCTAGGTTGGTTGACTATGTTCGATCATTGCCAATGGTTGTTTACTTTCCCCTATTTATTATGATTAGGTCAATGGTGAAGGTCACAGCGATCCTAGATGAAAATTTTTATCTGGTTTATAATTCGAGAAGGAATTAACCTAGATACACCTTAAATATAACAACATGAAATACCTCAAATAATTAATTGTATGTCATGTGTACATATCACAGCGGTTTGTCCGCATGCTGTCCGCCCTTCCTGGATTATTAACCTGCAAGTGATCCCACATGATTTTTGAATCAGTGGTGAGAGACCAATTGTCTTTGAGATATTTTGCTTTACCCGAGCATCGAACCTGCCAGCGACACTTGGATCTCCCTATTGCACTAAGCGGGCGGACCACCTCATTTAAGCGTACTTCGTTTTTGACCTCGTTTCTCCATTATATACATGTATCATGTTTCTTTTATTTTTCAGTGCCAGTTATTTCTGCATACCAAATCAATATAACTGAAAACAATGCGGTACCAGATGTTGTGTGGAATTTGACGTCATCTGACAGGGACGGTGATGTTGACCCAGTTTACGTCATATTAAATCAAAGTGACGCAGGCGTGTTTTTTATAAATGACGCTTATATGGCAGTTAAAACGAACAAGTCTTTTGACTTCGAGGATAAAACAATTTTTACTTTTGAAATAAAGTAGGTGCTTTTTAATGTTGTTCAATTATTTAATATATTTAAATCTTTTAAGTGTTTAAAATGAGTACCTAGTATTTTACAATATCTCAGCAGAATCGTTAGAAAAAAGATAATTACAATTTAGGGTGAATGATTGGTAATTAAAAATAGAGGAAAACAGAATCAACCATACATGTCAAAATTTTCTCCACCTGAAGGAATGCATGTCACTCCAATCGAATATCCGCGATCAACATCTTCGTTTCTTTTTAATTTTAATTACCCAAAAGGTGCATTGAATTCATTTATTAGGTTGGGTTTGACGGACATTGCACCAACACAGTAGAGGTCATATGGCGACTTTCCAGCTTAGCTGGAGAAGAGAAAAACCTCAGGTGCTATTTTAAGCAGGAACATGCACCTGAGTGGAACCACCGCCGTTTCATAAGGTAGCTGGATCGCTTCCTCACGTGAAAATCCAAAATCTCTAGATAGATTTATGACCACAATTATTTAAGTACATACTTATCAATATAGCCAAACGATGTATCTGATCACAATAATAAAGTAATTGTTTTCAATACTTTAATCAAATTAAAATTTTACAGAGTAACGGATACGTCATCATTGAAGTTGTCGTCAACGGCAACATTTACGGTGTCCGTGGTGGATGCAAATGACCAATTTCCAGAGTTTACTTCTAGTGATCGTATACAGTTAGAGGAGGAAACCAGTCCAGGTTTGGTTTATGCTTTAATTCTAAGTATATCTTACAATCAAATGTTACAAATAAGAGTTTTGCCAGGAATAAAGCTAAGTAAGGAAAAGAAATGTAAATAGTAAATATATAGTATAACTTATAAGTAAAACAAAGTATACGTCAACTTATGTCGGCATCATGTATTTTATTAAGATACAATTTCAAATGCCTTTCTCCGACCTTTGAGAATAATTCATTTTTTATCATTGGAAGAAATTTAAGTTCTTTTCAAATGTTATATGTTATCGATACAGGTTCGAACGCTACATAGAATCCAAAAAAAGTCGCTTTGCGATCATATTTAAAAAAATCTGGATAACGTGTTGTTCCTCGGAACCATTAATCACAACAAACTAACGTGAAACTTGCAGACTGACTTGGTTTAATTGAGTCTGTACATGAGGGAAATGAATAGGGCGACATCCCTCGCGCACTCCTAGCCTTTAACAAACTTGATAAATGTATGCATTTCAGCAACTTAAATAATCAAATTTATGTTGTTTTTTAAGAAAAGCATTATCTGCTGTTTAAAACATATTCTATCTAGGGTGAATTCAAAGTGTTTGTTAGCTTTAATCCTTGATTTGTATATTATAAATGTATAACAACTTGGTAATTCATCAATAGGTTCTGTTATCTACGAAGCCATGGCCGAGGATAATGACACTGTAGGAAGTGTAAGCTTCGACATTATAGGTATTATATACTTTATAAATGTAAGAACAAACAACCATGTATTTCTATTGTGTTTGTTTTTTACAAGAATTTCTTTCTTTCCTCTAATTTCTTTTTTCTTAATATCGTAATTAGATATTTTTCTTGCTAATATTTATTATGATTTATTCATTGTTAGCGTTTTAAAGACCACAATTGCAGAATCAGACCAATTTCAAATATAAGATTAATTTTAAGGAAAAATTCTTTATCAGAGACTTGTGTCCAATCATGCAAATCATATTTTGGAATTTATTAAAATGTTTAACTTGGTGCGATAATCTATCTTTATAATCTTATAAAAGATTCCTTTATATTTTTTCATTTTATTTTTATAGGCGGAAATGACAATGGCCAGTTTTCCATAGATAGTAACAGCGGAAATATAACTCTTGTGTCGGCGTTTAACGCTACTGTAACATTAACACATCGCCTGACTTTACAAGCTAATGATACTCTAAATACAGTGGATTTCAACTTAACAATAGCTTTAAGCACAGGTAATCAAATTCACATATAACATAAATCAAATAGATAAATATGTCAAAAATACGTTTCAACACGTACAGTTGGTTTACGGCCTGTCACATTGTATACAACGTTGATGTTCTTGGTGTTCTTTCCCTATTTTGATATTTTGTTTTACGCTTCCATAAACTTAGTTTTTTTAAAAATATTATATATTTTAAATATGCTTAGTAGATGTTCTTTGAGTGTAAAAAAGAATATATTGTTCTAGCTTAGCTATATTCGAAATAACAATACAATGGGATAAAACAAAAATGACTTTGGGTGAAAACATTTTTTTTTGTTCATTACAGCTCCTGTTTTGGTCATTCCTCACGAGGTAACTGTTGTTGAAAACGTAGCTATAGGATCAGATGTGATGGATCTCAACTCTACAGACATTGATGGCGATGTGAATCCTAATTATGAAATCCAAAACCAAAGTGAACCCAATGCGTTCAAATTGAACGAAAATAAAACAAAGCTTGTTACAAATTCGTCCATAGATTATGAAACATTGAAAAATTATACAATAGCTTTAAAGTAAGTGCCTTGATATAAAGTCTCACATTTAACCATGAATCTTAACAATTAACAAAGCTATCATTTGCAAACGTCTTGTGTTATGCAAACATTAACTAAAAGTTTCGTACCAGAGTGACGCAACTCCGTGTCTTAAAACAGTACATGTCTTAACATAAATCACATTCAACCTCACAAATTGCACATAATAAAAAAAAGAAACAAAATATTTAGATGGAACAGAAATTTTTATACCCATAAGTACATTATAATACTGTAACACAAACTTTTAATTGTTCATTTTTTTAAACTGATATAAACAAAGAATTTTTAGGGAAAACTTTGTGCCATAGCCTATTATGTCATTTATTTTTATCAATACGCCTTTTCTTTGTCGATCAGTTGACAATGTGATAAAACAAATATACGGTATGATTATTTCCAGAGTGACTGATACCTCCTTATTTTCAAAGTCATCCAGCGCTGAATTCACCATCATTGTTGTCGATGCTAATGATGAAAGTCCGGTATTTACTTCTGCCAATTCCACAGATATCACCCAATTTACAGCACCTGGTTTGTACCTTTGTTTTATAACAGACGCTAGTAGATAAATTAAATGAGGTAAAACAGTATATTAATACCATGATAAATAATAAACATAATAATTATGATATCAATTGCAATATGTTTTAAATGTATACTTAAATGTGCACCTGTTGGTGCTTTGAAGAAACCGCTGTAATATATCCTTATAAAACGTTCAAAGACAATGGTATCAAAATAATGTGGTAAATTAAAGCGTACACTAGGTAAAAATCGGAAATCGTAAAATTAATTTCGCAGTGATGCTTTTAAGATGGATAAAGTGATGTTTACTTTTGTACAAAGTATATAAGAAATTTTCTCCAAAAATAAAATCTGTATACATTGTTTTCAACAACCAGGCACGGTGATTTACAATGCGACGTCTGAAGATGTAGACACTATTGGCACTACGTCCTATTCAATAACAGGTAATCTTAAGATGTGTTTTATTAAAGACAATTACTCTCTGATAAGTTGTAGTTCCTTCTTTTTGTACATTTAATTTTGGTATAACGTTGGTTTATATGTTTCATTGCATATGTTTTTGCAAAATTATATTAAAGAAAGTAAAGTTTAGTTTTAATCAATGTAATTATTTGCAGTGAATTAAACCATTCCAACATGAACTGTCTCAATCAAACCGAGTCTGCAATTTACATGTAATTTTGTTGTAATTACTGCTTCCGAAGGGTCACTTTATTCTAGATTTTTATTTGTAATATGTCTAGTCTACTGTTGTTTTTTAACACAGTAATTATGCATTTTGCATGATCTCTTGCACAAAAAAGAAACAGCTTACTAGATGTTATATATAAATATCACATATATATATATGTCTTCTACATTTCAGAAGGAAATTCTGATGGTGTATTTGCTATTGATGCTAGTACCGGAAGCTTGACACTAGAGAAAACACTTAACCCAACTACAGTTGCTGATGTCACATACAATCTAGTTATACTAGCAAATGATTCCGTGAACACCGCATTTCTAAATCTAACAGTTAACGTCAAGACAGGTGTTTAGCATTTATATTATCTTAATACCTTTTTTTAAATCTGTACATGAAAATGTCTTGGATAAAGTCATAACATTCTAACATATGTATTTTCATACTAAATAATCCTGAATATATAAAGTAAGAGTTTTTTAAATCACAAAATTTATTCCTTAAATACATCAATTTACAATCTTTTATTTTGATTGTTTCTTGATTTAGATATACAGCAATTGGTAATATTGAAGATAAATCTATTGAAAAGAAAATAGCATACTCTATAGGCTGTATACATTGTATATAATTCGTTTTCTAACAACTCTATTTTGTTTTCAAATCATTCATCATTATCATCTGTGATATTATTGTGGATATCCCATTGAAATGTTAGTGACAATAAATTTTTAACTATTGAGAGTGTAAGCGCCATCACGTTTGTCCTATACATATACAACTTAATTTTATAATAATGTTTGTGATTTCTGTTATTTATAGCCCCTGTTATAAATGTTGAGGAGATTGAGATACCAGAAAATGTCAACACAACAAACGTGTATAGTGTATGGGCTATAAACTCCACTGATCTGGATGGTGATGAGAATACAACATTTGCAATTATGTCACAAAGCGATCCGGGCACTTTTGAAATAAATGCTGATAATGAAATTGTAACGAGCGCTAAGTTTGACTACGAAACTACGAAAAACTACACTGTTGTCTTAAAGTAAATATTTACCCACAGTTGTGTATTATTATTACTAAGGTCAAGTTCTCATTTTATTTGATAATAAGAATTTATAAACTTATTGATTGTTTAAAGAAATAATGAATATTTCTTCTGTAATATCCATGGTTTTTGTTAAGGCATAGTATTGTTGGATATGCTGTTCACTTTTTGGAGCCGTTACTATATTTATTCCTATGAATTTGTCTTTGTAAATGTTGATGTGAAAGAGAAAAAAAGCTTAACTAAAGGGTTGAAAGCATATGAATCTTAAGACTATACAAACCTTAGTAATAATAGAGTAGGAATTGGTTGTTAGGATGGGTGGTGGTAGTCACTCATTTTCAATGTTGCTTCCACAAATTTCGACAAACTTAAAAGTAAAACTAATATTTTCATGCATTAACTGTTTACATAAACAGCGTCGCGAATAATACTTTTACATTGTTTTTCCTTATATCATTAGCGCCACGGATATATCTGGACTATCATCCACAGCAACGATAACTATATTTGTAACCGACGTGAACGATGTTAAACCTACAATTACGTCAAACTCGTCAATATACATCCTAGAAACTGCTAATATAGGTAAATAAAATTCTAATTAGATCATAGTTATCCATGCTCCTAATAAAATTATATTTGTGATTTTAACCCAGGACACATTTTAAATATTCTTTTAAGACGTATTAATTGTGTTTGTTTAGTTCTTGTGTACGTGCGTGTGTGTGTTCGTTCGTGTGTGCGTGCGTGTTGTTCATTTTAAGGACGGGGTTGACCAATTATGCTAAAGGATGTACGTGACACTAAAATACGACTAAACCGTGTATATTTGGACGGATACCTTATTGCAAATATACGTCACAAGAATAAAGTCAGACAGGTCCTCGGTCTCGTCAAAACATGCACAGCTGTCTGCTGCTGTTTAATTTCGTGATATTGAAACTAATACAAACGAATAATTACAATTTCAAGGCTGATACTATCTATACAGGTGATACAGTTTAAAAATTTTTTTAATTTTTTTTTTTTAAATTTAATTCATTAAATTACTTTATATGTTACAGGAGACGAACACTATACTGCAACTTCGGATGATATTGACACTGTTGGAAGTGTATCGTATTATATAACAGGTATTTACATATAAATATACGTATATAAATGTAGTTACTTCATATGATGATAAATTATTGGCTGATTATTGTCATGAGGGTAAAATACCGGTACATATGATATACATTTCTTCATATAACGATACATACGAGTGTATTATGTCCTTTGGTATACATGTATGTGTTCTATTTATTTCAAAATATTTTCTCATACTTTCTTTCATAAACACCTTCTTACACCGAATTTTCTTCTGGACAGGCCTCATAACATTTACATACATGGATAAAAAGACAAATGTCTGCATTTAATATTTAATTTGCATGTGACTTTACAGGCCGAAACACTTCCTTTGTTTTAAGACAAGAGTAATAGCCCTAAGACACTGCTACAAAACAACATTCCTTACTTTGTGACATTAAAGCTGGTAAAATTGTCATTGAAAAAGTATATCGGAATGCTGCGTTGATGATTACAAAAATGAAACAAACACTTCAAGTGGTAAAACAATTAAAGTTAAAACAGAAATCACAAAAGTAATCATTAAGTTAATGACGATTTGACTAATTAGATTAAAGAGTTTATATGTTTCAATATCAGATACTACATGGTGATAATGAATGTGATATTTTGTTTTTTCTATAGATGGAAACAGAAACAATGCTTTTGCTATAAATGCATCAAGTGGCGTGCTGACCCAGGCGATAAAACTTACACCAACCACGGAGTCAGATCTTGTGTATAACCTTGAGATAGCAGCCAATGATTCAGTAAATGTGGCATACCTTAACCTGACCGTAGATGTTAAAACAAGTAATGATATTTTTTAAGAAAAAAACAAAAAAAAAACCTTTATTCATTTTCAGAAGGCTAAACCCTATTAATTAAATATATAGCAGATATGTACAGGGACAAATGCATATAAGTTCATGTGTTTGTTTATTGTGTCGTGTCTGTTCAAGTCTAGAGATATTTTGTAAACTTTCATCAGAAGTGTTTCAATTGTGTGAGATGTAATGATAGCTATTCGACTTTATTTGGTTACGACAATGCTTGAAAATGACTTGATCAATAGTTTGACTTGAACTTAACCGTCACTATAAAAGATTCCCCTTTGTCATTTGGCCATAAATCATGTGATTTATCTATATAGCTGATTAAAAAAAGTAAAAAGATGTCCTTTGCAATTTGTATTGGTTAACGATTAGTTGAAACTCATTAGTATTTTTTAATATAAAAACGATATAACGTTTAATGAAAACTAGAGAGAGAAACGTTTTAACTATGTGATTGTTTTGTTCTTGTAGGACCATATCTAAATATAACCAATGTGAACATTACTGAAAATACTGTCACAACTGGTGGATATAGTGTACAGACATTGAACTGGAATGATTTAGATGGTGACACTGAACAGACATTTGCCATTGTTGATGAAAGCACCCCCGGCGTATTCGAAATTGAGAATGGAACGCTAACAACAAATGCAACGCTTGATTTTGAAACAGAGACGAGTTATACTGTGACAATAAGGTTAATATCTACTGGTATTCAATGAAACGAGAAATAGTTGTTAAAATAATTATAAGCAATAAACATATACTTAATGATTGGTCACAATCAAAACGAGTAGTTTTGAAACTTTAAGCATTTTATTCTTTCATACACTCTTATCAAAACATATTTCTTATCATGATTTTATTTAGAGTGAATCGGTCCATACTTAGTAATTGAAGATCTGTTATACCATGAACAATTATGTTGATAGTATATAGTATTATGATACGGGAAAACAAACCTGAAAATAATATGGATGTTTGTTAGTGTTTCAAACATTGTCTCCAATATCACATATCAATATATAAAAGATAATAAAATGTTCAAGAGCAGTATATTTTATCTAACATACTAAATCACTTAGAATTATATCATTATTTTGTTTTTCTAGAGATATTTCATATGAATATCCAAATGACACAGTCCTATTGTTTTATCAATGTTTGAAATACCTACGGAACATGTGCCCGTTGTAGACCAATCCACTTTAACGATTCTATAAGTTTTCTATCATTATATTAAGTATTCATTTTTTTATACAGGATAAGTCTTTCTTTTTGTCGAATGGTTAAGAAATCACTCAGCAGCATGTAATATTTAAATAAACATTTAAAAAGTGTCCCTTTTAGCTTCTGTAAAGAAATGCTTTCATTTGTTTTCAGCATAACTGATGTTCATGGACTAACATCAAATGATAACTTGACACTATTTGTAGAAGATGAAAATGACGTGACTCCAGTGTTTACAAATAACATTACAACGATCAATCTATGGGAGAAAGAAAATACTGGTCGGTATCTTAATTTCACTAGTTGAGCATCTATATTTGTCATTTGTTGTATTTATTATTTGAATTTTCGGTAGCTGACCGTCAATACTGATCAGTATTTTATCTTGAACTATAGCCTGTCATCAACACTTGTCAGTATTTTCTTTTATCGATAGCTGGTCATTGTAGCTGGGCAGTATTTTATTTTTTCTATTGTTGATCATCACTGCAATCTGTTTTAGTCCTGAAAATCAGTTAAAGACGATACAGACACATTGGGTATTTAAGATATAAGCCTTGTAGAATGTTATTCTTGTACAGTTTTATTCTTAAAGGTAAATTTGCAGTTTTGCACTTCTTTTTACTATTATGTTTCAAAATGCATGTTTGGTTACATTGCAAAAAGTTGTAGTATTGCAACTAATGGAATTGTTTACCTAACGTTTGAACCTTTTGTAGGAGATGTATTTACGTTAACGGCCACAGATCCGGATACTGTTGGGGACATACAATATTCAATAATAGGTAATTGTTTTTGGTGGTTTTCTTTGTTGCTGTTTTTTTTCTGAGAATGTTTGAACGTTGGATCACTTTAATAGTTTATATAGCAGTGTACATTTTATCAAAATTTTCAGAATTTGATATTATGAAATATGATGATGATAAAACTGATTTTGCACAGCAATATAAATTGTAGACAGTAAAATGTATATTTTGTGTTTTTATATGTGCAACACATATTTGTGTATTTATCTCTTTCACATGTACAATGTCATATGTTACATTTCAAAGATTCATAACCTTTTTAAAAATGTTTTCTTTTGTTTTTAATAAAGGTGGCAATGATGAATCCAAGTTCAGCCTGGATGCCAGTACAGGGATATTGTCATTATCGTCTAGTTTAGACTTTGCAACAACCGAGTCGTATTTCATCAGGATGATTGCTAATGACTCTGTTAATAAAGCTTCTTTTAACCTTAGTGTTAATGTAAAAACAAGTAAGTTACTTTTACGAAAGTTTGATTTTATCTTATCTATATACACTTAAGTAGATCTGATATTTGTATTTTTTACTTTATAAGGTCATTAAGAGAATGAATAAAAGACTTGGCATTCAAAAGTTCGACAGAAAAAGTTATTTTGTCAATTCCATATTTTGTTGGTCATTTGTTTGGGTTTGTTTTTTTCTTTTTTTTTCATTTGTCCTTTGTTTTTTTTTATTTGGTGTTGTTGTTTTATTAGGTTTTTTGTTGATGTTTGTTTTTCAGTTTATGTACATTTGACAAAAAAACATACTGCTCGTATTATTCATTTTTTTTCGTTTTCGATTTACTGTTTATTATTATATTTATTAGAAATTTTATACTTTTTTGTTAAAGGTCCAGTTATAAATTTTACCGGTGTTGATGCAAAAATTTCTGAAGATCAAGATACTTCGGGCTCCTATGTTGTATTAAACCTCACTTCAACAGACGCCGACAATGACCCGAATCCTGTGTATGATATTCTCAACCAAGAGAGTGCTGTCTTTTTTATTGACGGCGACCAACTTAAAACGAATATGACATTTGACCGGGAGACTTCAGATAGTTACAATGTTACTATACGGTAAGTTTGAAGAAGTTCGAATTGAAAATTCTGCATAACTTAAAATAATTGATAAGATACTATGGTACAAAAACAATATTGAAGCTTAAACGTGTTTCTCTTAATATTTAACTTTACAACAAGGGGTATATGCTACTCCATTTCAAATTGTTTGTAAGGTGTTTTCTTTTGGTCATTGACTTAATAGGCACTCTCGTTTATTTAATAATTTTGCAATTAAATATTTTAATGATTGTATCAGTATGTTTCTGGTTCATCTAAATTACATTTGCCTACCTTTTAAACAGATAAATGCTATCTGAAACGAAACATAAAAACCACATAGAAAACGGTAATTAACATTTCTAATATAAATTTTATTTGACTCACAGATATTTCATGTATCGAAAAGGTGATATTGTTTCAGTATTATGCGATCTTTGTTCTAGAGTTACAGATTCAGTTCTTGGATTGACTTCAAACGACACTTTGACTGTTACAATCACCGATGTTAATGACAACGCGCCTGTGATAGTATATCCAACTACTACTCCCATTGAAGTTCGCGAGGACACTGCCAAAAGTACGATTACATTCAAATTTGTAATATGTTTATGAACTTGTTGGGTGACTCGTATATATCAGCTTTTCAGATATATTTCAAAACTGTTGCCGTAAAATGTTTATATTTATCGGTTAGGTTAAAGTATTTTGCTTTCCCCATCAAGTATATTGTGACGATTTACTGTAGACACTACATTTATGAGAATCAAAATACCTTTGATGAAGTCCCTGTAACATGAAAGGATTCATTCTTTATATGTGTTTTACATGAGGCGATTATATGTCATATTGCAAATACAAGATTATTACTATTCGGTCTTATGTCACCCATTTGACTTAAAATAGCTTTGATGCTGGTGTTTTTGAGAAACGAAAAAGTGTCTTAATTGGTAATTTTATAACACTTATAACCATTTTATTTCAAACTATTTTATTTCAGATACACTTATATTCATGACTGAAGCCAACGATGTTGATAAAAAAGGAGAATTAACCTACCAGATACAAGGTAACCTTTGTAAACAAATTAGGTTTCTTTTCCTACTGTAACATAATTATCCCACCTTGCTTGTCGATGGCAAATAAATAAATGAATTAAATAAATGTACATTCATCATAATTTACCTAAATTGCTAAAATATATCTTAAAAAATATATGTAAAATAGATTTGTCAAAGAAATTTTCAGAACGCAAAATTTAACTGAGATATATAATAATGCTATATTAAAGATGATATTTTTGCAGCAAACCAAGCAATACGATATGGTTTTAAACTATTTATTGATACTGTTTTGGTTCACCCGGCTAGCCGGTTACTTGCGGGAAAATTTGTAATTACAAGTTAGCTATACGGAAAAACGGGTTAGGTGTACTAATCGCCGAAATATGATCTAAGGTCTTTTAAAACCGGCGTTAAATCAGATAAACCAACGAACATATATTATTACATTTTGTAAATAGCTAATGTTAGAAAGCGGAGTCGTTCATTATTTTTGAACAAGCTACAAGCCTGTCACAATCTGAGTAAATAGATAAATAAAGTAAATCTAAAGGTACACATATTATGCATAATTTTATAATAGAATTTAATAATAAATTTATTGAAGATGGAAACACAAACAGTGACTTCAGTATTGACGAAACGCTTGGAAATGTCACACTCGCTAACGCACTGAATGCATCGCAGACGATAGATTACAATCTAACTATTGCAGTAAATGACACTCTGTTCTCAACCATTGTAACTGTACCAATTACTGTTAAAACAGGTAAGATATATGCTTACTTCATTTAGTCGTTCAGAAAAGGGATATTTCTTAAATGTTCATTCATTTTGCTTGTAGCTCAGCTGTGGATTTTGTCAAATTTGTTTTATTTTTGTTATACATTCACACAAAACAAACCATATATGTAATACCAAATATAAATGAATATGCATATCTGGTTTTGATTGTGGAAACGCATAAGATAGGCCCAAGTTGTTTAGAACATTTTTCTCTAAAATAGAAATATAAACATTGAAATTTGATTTGAATATGATTTAATTTATTAACATTGATCGTACTTTTACCTAATTATTGCCAGGCGTGTCACCTGGCTTCAGAGCTTGTAAAAAAATATATTGACAATAGCATATGATCATAATGATGTTACATTTTGCTTTATAGCACCATTAATGGAATTCCCTGATGAAAATGTGACCATTGCCGAGGACACGGACACGTCCGGCAACTACTCTCTGTTGACGCTGGCTTCTACCGACCTTGATAATGATCCAAATCCAAGATATGAGATTTTATCACAAAGCATTGAAGGGACCTTCTTCATCAGCGAAAATAATCAGCAGTTGTTGACAGCTGCCAAGTTTAACTATACAGACGTTCAAGTGTATGAAGTAACAATACAGTAAGTACTAAGTATTTGGGATGCCACAAGGAGTTGAAAAGTAACAGGCTTTTAATTATATCCATAGGAACTTAATGAAGGTACCCTTGGTCTTCAATCGTATACTCATATATAATTGTTTCAGAGAAAAAACTATATTAAGTGTTATAATTATATCATTTACATTAAAAATGTCAATATTCCGTTTAAATCACAAAGATAAAGTTTACTATTTACTAAGACGTTGTTAAACAAAGACAACACACTTTTCGACACAAAGGTTTGTGTTTTTGCTGAGAGGTATTGCTTTTGAGAGGTTTTATCAATTGTTAGGACGGAAAGACATCATATGTTGGTTGTAAAGGGGTTACGCTCTCAGATTGGCGATTTGACGAGCTTGCACTGAAACCATATTGCATAATATCTTATTACATTTTTTATAAATTTTCAAAAATTCTATTGTTTTACTATTAATGCTTTCCTCTGATAAATTAATACTTTATAAAGTGCTCAGTTGAAAGTATCATCTTTAGTATAGATACCTCAATATGTGTCACATTTTGTTTTCGCAGAGTAACAGATTCATCACAGTTTAATATGTCCTCAACGGCAACACTAACTATATATGTAACAGACGCTAATAATCTTCCGCCAGAGTTCACTTCAGGGAATAAAATAGAGGTACCTGAAACTCAACAAACTGGTATGTCTTTATTGTACATTTATTTTTTTTTATTCATTTTATTTTTTATTTGTATTTTATACATATATTTGTTCTTGTTGAATAGATTGATATTTCTTTTAAGATTTAACGATGAATTCTTAAAATTTTACAAATGCTATTCCTTACACACATTCGAATTCCTAATATCCATTGATTGGTTTTGTAGCAATATTTAGAATATCAAATCATTTTTTATTATACTTTATAACAACTAATTAAGGAAAACCCAATTTATGTATTCTAATCAGGTCCTCGGTTGTATTTGATATTCCGGTTTAGAAAAAAGCCTTATCTTAACGTTTTAATGATTTTAAAAGTTTAAAACCAGAAATAAATTGATGCATATCTGAACGTGGTCACAAAATCACAATTACTGTTATCTTGTTTTTAAGGCATTACTGTGTACCAGGCAGTGGCTGTTGACGCGGATACAGTTGGACAGATATCTTATTCAATAACCGGCAAGTTGTAAATTATCTTTTTTTTTGTTTATACATAACAACAAAATTCTTCTGGTTGTAAGATGAATACGGTATTTTAGACTAAATATCCATTTGCTTGTAGTAATGCATCATTATTTCTTTCCTGTTACTTTTTAGTGTGATAAAACATTTGTTGATAATTATCGATACACGTTTGCAGGAAGAAGTTACTACAGAAAACTGACAAAGTCGATAGCAACAATTAAACTACATATGTGTCATTTTACTACCTATTTTACATTTTCATCATAAAATATAGCTTGAAACAAATTTCAAAAAATATGAAAAAGAGCTTAACGTTTATAGTTTTCTCCTGTAGTAATTGGTCCGGTTGTCTGTTGTATTAATTATGAATAGCAATATGCATTTGTTTTACTTTTGTTATTCTGTATAGTTTATACATGATTTTTATACATGTATCTATTTAACGACAGGTGGTAACACAAATGATGACTTTGCTATCGACGCACAGAGTGGGAATTTGACACTAGCAAAATCACTTGCACCATCAACTTCTAAAGTATTGCAGTACTCGCTGACAATTGAAGCCAATGATACTGTTAACGCAGCCACACTTACACTGACAGTTGATGTTAAAACTAGTAAGATGAATAAACACTTAATCGTGTGCAACATTTATACACATATTTAAATACTTTCAGATAGTTAAACTAATATGATATATAACTTACTATTCTTTGCATGATTTGCCAGATTTTATTTACTGTCACTATCATTTTTCCTCGCAATATTCTTTTCTGTCCATTTGTTGAAGTTACATATAGACCTATCTGGACGGCTGAATTCATTTTGTTTATACCAACTTGACTTTGTTAAACCTGTTTAAATGCATCTTTATAAAATGAATATGTGTATAGATATATAAATACAGATTTTTAATTTAGTGTTGATCTCATGCTAATTTCTGGATTAATTTATTAGTTTGCGCATCAATTTACGTTGTCATGGTAAATGCAAGATAATATCCAAAAGAGATTCGTAAAGAAAATTTCTTTTACAGTTCAACATGTTATAACTTGCTTTAATGAGCATCTTTTCAAATTCAGTTCCAGCAATAGTTATACCGGCCGATCCAATTACTATTGATGAAACAACTGATACATCTGACACGTATGTTGTTCATGAACTAAGCTTTACCGACCTTGATAATGACACAGACCCAACATTTGAGATTTTGTCACAGAGTGTCGACGGTACGTTTGTCATCACGAACGGCACGAAGATTACTACTACAGCAACGATTGACTACGAAACAAGAAAGACGTATGAAATTGTTGTCAAGTAAGTACTTTTCACGCTTTCATGTTCGATACAAACACGACAACAAGCGGTTGACTTGATAAATGTTACTTTAGTAACAATATTGTTTCAGTGCCCTCTGATACTTCATGACAAAAGGTTTAAGAACTATGAAATCACAACTTTATCTTTTATTTTATCTATTCTGATTATCTTGCGCCTCTCCGGGATGGTGTCGGTTTATATTGGGTAACATCGACTTAAGTAAAACTAAGTATTTCAATCTGAAATTTGTTATAAAATCTAGTTTGATCAGAAATTGCTTTTTTTCTTAGTACATTGTTGACATTAATCTTGTTGGTTCTGTCTTTTACAAATGATATCCTGTTTGTGATTTTAGAGTAACAGATTCATCAGATTTTGAACTATCGTCGACTTCTACGTTGACAGTTTCAGTAACAAACGCTGATGATGAAGCTCCTGTATTCACGTCTGCTAATGTGACATACATACCGGAAGATCAAACTCCTAGTAAATTATTCGCTGTTTTGTTTATTATAAAAATGCATTTCATTCATTTTACTTGACTATCATTGTAATGGTAAACATGTTTCATTTCATTTAAATCAAAATGTTATGACCGCATTCGAGTCATGATTTTTTTCAGTAAATTATAGCATAATTATAGCATGCATGAAACAAAATTAACGGTTTTTGTAGGTACTGATTCCTCGTATTATTTTGATTCGAGTCGTATCTTTTGGAAAAATATTTTGTATTTAAAAAAAGGAAACATATTAATTGCTTTCAACTTTATAAATAACACACGAGTAAAGAGTAACGAATCATTGGTAGCTTATAATGAATACTTTAAGAAACCTCAAGCTACTCTGAAAATATTAAACTTCTAGGCTACTCTGAAATAAAACTGTTTTCAAACATTTTAGAAACGATTGTCTACACTGCTGAGACATATGACAACGATACAACTTCCGGTATCACTTACACAATAGAAGGTAACTAGTTAATACAACATAGTTCTTGTATATTTTAATGACGATGCTTTTCTAAAGAAAAATGAACATTAATATAAGTATAATCATTGAAACAATATCATGATAATGATTTTAGTTTCGATATAATTGCTCCCGTTTTGGAATATTATACATGTTTTGTTTTATGCGTTTAAATCATGAATACAACAAGCTATGTTAGTGACAATTAAATTGACATTTTTGTTTGTAAAATGTAATCTCACTACTTTGCAAAATGAGTTACCATACGAAATGTATCAAAATACTGATAAAATATTGAATGGAAGCCAAGTCTTGTCACATATATGTAAGCATTAACAGCTTCGGATTTAACTTTTTTTAACAAAGTATAAATATGGTTTATATGTGTGTTATATTATCATATTATGTTATACATTTTCACATTTTTAAATAGATGGAAATACAAACAATGACTTCAGCATTAACCCCGTCAGCGGTGCTATATTGCTAGAGAATGCATTACGACCTCGTGATGTACTGGAATACAACTTGAAGATTCAAGCAAACGATTCCATCAACCAAGGGGAATTAACTCTTAAAATAATTGTTGTAACAGGTACTTAATAATTTCAATAAACTTTTCATTGTCAGATCATATTCTCAATACAATTATTTCACAAACCTAGAAAAACTGCAGAAATAATACTTGGAAAATGATGAAGACCAGACTTTTAAAGCTGTAAATCGCGAAAAAAAAATTAAAAATTCAACTTTCATCATAACATGGTGATTCTTGCAAATATGTCTTACAAAAAAGATTTGATATTATGTGACATGATTTGATATAATTTCTTATGTATTTTACAATAACTTGTTTCCGAACACAAAACATTATTCCCTCGCTATTAATAAGGATTTAAGACACGTTACCTGTCTCTATTTCACAGAAATTAAAAAACATTATTTTTGTTGGTACGAAAATCTATCCCGTCGAATGCAGTAATTCTAATATAGCTGTGTAGTTTTCAAAAACTGAATAATTTCAAAAATTCTTTTTTAATGATTTTTATCATTGTTAAAAATGTCAAAGGCGTTATCATTTATATAGATGCTGTTAAATAGTTTTGCTTTTTTATCTATAAGTTATAACAACTTTGTGCTTTTAGTGCCAACATTACTATTCCCGGCCGATCCCATTGAAATTAACGAAAACACCGACACCTCAGCAGGAACGTTAATTTGGATCGCGGCATCCTCGGATTTGGATGGCGATTCAGACCCGAGCTACATGATTGTCTCACAAAGTGTAAACGACACCTTTGAGTTCAACAATGATAATACACGGCTGATAACAAAAGCTGATTTCGATTATGAAGACACGACAAGTTACGAAATAACAATAAGGTAAGGATAATGCATCTGAGAGATATGTTATATGCTGTATAACTTTCAACTTTGTCATCTAAGGAATACATGTAGATCTATAACTTTATCAACTCTCTTTCTCACTTTGTCTAAAATGTCACCATTTCCATTATTAAATGTTGAATATTGCTAATGCCGGTGTTAGGGGTCATGGAGATAGATTTCATTGACCACTACCGTCAAGAATATAAAAATGCCTTAATTATTCTGAACATGCAGTATTCTCAGTGCCTAAAATGGTGGATGAACCCTCATTAAGCTTAGAATACATCATAGGTACCTGCAGTATTTACAACTCTCAATTTTGTGCGTTCTTAAACTCGAAAACTGATGTACTGATATGTCAAAGTTATTATTATTCAAATGTTTTCCTTCTTCCATTTTAGTGTCACAGATACTTCTCCGCTTAAATTATCCTCCACAGCAACGCTAACCGTGTCGATTGTCGATCTTAATGACGTTACACCTAATATTACATCACCTGCAACTGTAAAGATTCTAGAAAACACAGACAATGGTAAAAGTAGCTTTGTTATCTAGACTTAGTATCGTGCATTAACTCTTGTTAACTTTTTTTTTAATTTTTTTTTCCATTGTTATTGAACATAGTGGAAAGCATAAAAATAATGTAGATCTAGATCCAATTCGATGTATTTACTTCGTCTCATACTCCATATAGCCTTAGAATCTACACAATTTTAGTTTAAAAGTTGAAGATTAAAAATGGCTTATATGGATTTATAAACGGCATAAAGCATGTCTTTTATTCAATCTTATAAAGAACTCCCAGACAAAACTAAACCCTAATAACAATAAATTTATTTATTACATCAATTGATTTCTCGTTGCATAAATTATATATAATTATACATGTTTTGATTCATCTTCTTCGTGTTCATGTGTTTCTTTATTCTCTGCAGGTACCATGATTTATACTGTTATCTCGGATGATCCTGATACTGTCGGAACTGTAACATACAAGATAATTGGTAATAATGATATAATTTTTTCTATAGGTTTTACCTGTAGTGTCTTTATCTTTTTTGTGAGTATGCAAATGGAAGCTTACGTTCTTCACTTCAACAGTTTCTGAGAAGATCCGAATGTTTGAAGCATAATGTTTACTGGATACAAACGTGTAAATGTAATAATATGATATGCAACATAATTTTTTGTAGAGACCAAAGTGTAAACCACATTTTCAGTACTAAGCCATATATTCGAACACCCATACAATTTGGACTATATGTACAATGTACTCGCAAAAACCCAAATTGAATGATTTAATTAACACCTGGTATTTTCAATTTAAACAAAAACGTTGCGAATGAAACATAGATGATGAAATTGCATTTATGTGAGGAAATATGGCTAATATCATATATTATATTTTTAGGTGGGAACACAAATGATGATTTTAGTATAGACCCTACTAGTGGTAATATTACGCTTGTAAACGCACTGAATGTAACGTTGGTAGCAAACTATAGTCTACAAATACAAGCCAACGATACTTTGAATGTTGTAGACTTCACATTGCTCGTGGAGCTTAAACCAGGTACAGTTATTACAACCTTTTTTACCTTGAAACTTAAAGTAGATTTGTCCATAATGGAAGGTCTTTAATACTATAAATAATTATGTTGATAGTATTCAGTATCATGCATTACAGAAAAACCATGGATGAATAATAATATGAATGTTCTTAGCAAGTAATACATGATTAGAGATTACATATCTATATATAGCAGATGATAAAATTGGTCAACATTTTTAACCAAATATTGATTTCAATCTTTAGATAGACTTCAAATATTGAGAATGCAAGTATCTTTTAGATACAAAATAAAAAGGTTTTGGTTTATTTTTCGTTAATTATTCTGCTTAATTTTAATACAAGTACGAGTAAGTATTGTGTTTTTCGTAATGCTAACATATATTCGAAGGAAATGAAACTGTATAAATTATAAGTTTGAACGTCAGAAATTGCAGTTCTCTCAAAAACATTTCAAAATAGCAATAATGTGTTCTTGACTGAATAATTCATTATAATCGTTATTGGTACCATGTCTTAAATGTTTATTTCACATTTCATGTTTCTCAATTTAGACATCGACGAATGTGCATCTAATCCTTGTATAAACGATGCTACATGTGTTGATGGAATAGATGAATTTACGTGTGATTGCATGCCGGGATATACTGGCGATACATGTCAAACTGGTAAGATTTTATATCCTATCTGTAAGATTTTAACAAAAAATTTTATTAACCATATTTTGTCCTCTTATGGTATTATAAAAAATTTATGTAAGTAAAATGTTTAGACATTACATATGATGTCTGTTTTTTAAAAATTGTCTTTTGATGTTTTGTCTGTGATATGCAGGCTTCGAAATCTCTCATCCCTTTTTGAAAATCGGATTTGTTTAGTTCCACTCATTGTTTTCTCATTAAAGGGCATATTCTTCATTTCTTATCTTGTGATTGTACATCACTTGACAAGAATATTTCACATTGAAGGTTGAAAGTTAAACGCCGTATAAACGCATCTACGGATGATTCAAGTTTCGAAGTGTCACCATTTTCATGTAAAAATGTTGAAATTTGCTTAAACTGGTGCTATAGGCATTGACCGTATCTTGCACATTCCAGTATCGTCCATTAACAAACTAAATCAAAACCTGCACCATTTTTAGTGATTCGTTTTTCTCTACTCAAACAATCATTTGTTTTTGCTGTGTCTGTTGTCGTTGTTGTTGTTAAAATATACTACTACAGGTGGTATACATAGTAATATTGGTCGAGAAGGTAAAAATATCTTGTAGAAGATTCATTTGTTTATAAGCAAATGATAGATTCGCCTTCATTATCTTTTTCTGTATACAACTATAAATGTTACAAATTCATTCAAATATTTATCTATGACTGTTGAAACTTATAAAAGATGTATTTTTTCAACTATATGTTAACAGACATAGACGAGTGTGAACCGGAACCATGTAAAAATAATGCCACCTGTCAGGAGTTTATTAATGGCTATAATTGCACATGCGTTGCTGGTTATGAAGGAGGTGATTGTGAAATTGGTAAGTCAAGTCCTTAAAGGCATGGTCTGATAAAGCGCTTCAATCTTAATTACTTTAAAAGGTAATAAATCAGCTTATGGCCTATACCAAAAACAACTGAACTTTTTCTAGTTTGTGTTGTACAACTTTGGAATGTAGGAACCTGGTCAGTTTTTGAAACATTTGTTTTCCATCACTAAAAAGTCAGTTGATTTTACAAGTTCTTAGGGAATTAAATATCGATACTTGAACTTAGTCATCATATAATCCATAAATAGGTATATTCGGAAATTTCTTAACAATATTATGAATTATCATAAATTACTTAACCAATAAGAGCTTTAGTCATTGAAAAGATATTACATGGTGTTTACTATTGTTGAAGAGTTGTTTCTTGTGTTGTCAAGATATTGTTCATTTGATTTAAAAAAAGGCTTTCAAAATTGGAGTTCTTTCACACCGATTGACGTGTTTATGACCAAAACATTTATTAAGTTGATTTATGTTTGACTTTTGTTCATTGAACGCCGCCTTTCCTTGTTGATCTTGTTTATCATATATTATTTGCTCTGTTTATCTCCAGATATCGATGAATGTGCGTCCTCCCCATGTCAAAATGGTACATGTAATGATCTCGTGAATGGCTATAATTGTAGCTGTGTTGCTGGCTATAGTGGTGATAACTGTGAAACTGGTATGTTTTTCTAGTTTATATTTTTCTATATTACCAGATTATTTGTTTTACATACTATACATATATCAATTATTTGCCAGAAAGTAAAGAAACGCGATCCTGCACATTTTGCAACATTTTACAACTTCATCATTGATAAATCTATAAAATCACACGAGTATCAACTGAAATTGTCTGCATACATATTTACTTTTTTGTTTATAGTATATATTCAAATTTGAAAGGTTCAATGGCTCAAAATTCGTTCAGCAATTACAGTTATTGCCATTTATTCTGAGAATAAACATGGAAAATTAAGAAACAATGATATCTATTTAAAGTGATAAAAAGAACTTTAATATAAACAGGTAGGTTCAATGTTTCGTATAATACTTTATCGGAATGTTTCTGATATATCATATATTTTATGATAACTTTCAGTATCGATTTAGAAAAAACCTAAACTATAATTGCATGTATGTATTAATTAAAAAAATTACATAGCAATGTATATGTAAGGCAAGCATCATTTTCTTCTGTATGTTATCGTGATTTTAGATATCAATGAATGTGCGTCTAATCCATGTGCGAATGGTGGTACATGTAACGATGTTATAAATGGATATGAATGTACTTGTGCTCCAGGCTACAATGGGGACCAGTGTCAAAACGGTAAGATTTTGAAGTCAAGTATAAAAGCTGCATGCCTCCAGATGAGCTATAACATTTTTTTAGTCAACTTCATGAAAAATGTCCATGGATTTTAGGAAAATTAAAAAGATCAAGTAATAATTTACATGTTACATGCAATGAATGACTGTTTTTGCAATATTTATCAACATATCTACTGCGTGAGTGAAATACAAAAAGTAAACATAGACATGGCAGAGCACGGTCCATAGACTACACATTTTACTAACATTTTATAATGCTTGTTTATTTCAAGATAAGAAATGTCTCATGTATCTAGGAAATCTATCCAATGTCAATATTAATGATCTAATTGCTATTATCTTCTCTTTGGGTAGATTATGCTACATTTAAATACACTTGCGTTTTTATTTTGTTTTTCATGGCGCAACATAATGATATTTGTTTATTTACAGACATTGATGAGTGTGCCACGGTCACGTGTTCAAATAATGGTACATGTAATGACTATATAAATGGTTACAACTGTACCTGTCCGCCGGGATTTACAGGCAAATTGTGTGGAACAGGCATGTATTCTCTCATATACCCAAATCTTCATATTAATTACAAATTTCTACTTGTTCTTATAAATTTAACTAGGAAATTGAGGAACATTTGGTCATAGTTCGAGTTCTCATTTAGGAACAGCAGCAGCATTTTCTTTTAAACTTAATCAAACAGGGCCTGCAATATAATAAAATTTTGCCCTTTTGTAGCATTTCTCACTCTCCTTAGCACCGGTAACAATCCTCAGAAGTAAAAACTGTCAAAAGTAAAACTATGTCAAATTGTTGAATTCTACCGTTCCTATCGTGGTTAGATGTATGTAATTTTACAATGATGTACATGAATAGACGTAACAAATAAAAGTCGTTCTAATTTTTGATTTATTGTCAAGCAACGCTATATTGTATTCGTCGACTGTGTTGTTTTTCCTGTGTTGTTTTTTACTGTGTTGTTTTTACTGTGTTGTTTTTTACTGTGTTGTTTTTTCCTGTGTTAACAATTTATGTAAATTGACTGACAGGTTGTTTAGTTACAACACCGGGATAATACATACTCCATGTACATGTATGTCCCGATCAACACAAAAGACAAATGGCTCTGTTTGTGAGGGCAAAGGTTTTTACTGCTAAAACTGGGAAAGTCTTTAGTTCTTAACAAATAGCATTGAAACCAAATGTGCTGTATTGTCATCAAGCATATTCAAATTCTGCTATGCATTTTAGTTTTATTATGTGTTACACTTGTTATACAACGCTGATCCACTATTGATGATATAATACTGATCACAAAAATCGTACTAATTTGTAGATAATTATATGGAATATAGTAGGAATTAAGATGATGTATCCAGGACATATATAATCAGACTTTATATTTTAAATCATATTCAGTCACGTAATTTATTATTGATTTTTTTTCAGATGTTGACGAATGTGCATCGAACCCCTGTCAGAATCATATAACATGTGTGAATAAAGTAAACAGTTACCAATGTATGTGCAAACCTGGATACACTGGAACCAACTGTGAAACAGGTATTATAATTTACATTTTTATGCTCCCCGTAGGAATGGCATATAGTCGCCACTTTGTCAATCCGTCCGTCCGCTTTTCTTGTCCGGGGCATAACTCCAAGAGGTATCAACAAGAAACTCTGTAGGTAGATAAATCTCATTAAGTAGAAATGCAGCGCAAAAGAACCGTAACACTGCCTTGCCTAATTTTTTGAGTTATTGCCCTTTGTTCATTTTTAACTCTTAAACTATAAGAGGTATCAACAAGAAATTTTGTAGGTAGATAGAGTATACATGTATAAAGTAAATGTGCAGTGCAAAAGAACCGTAACTCTGCCTTGCCTTATTTTGGAGTTATAGTCCTTTTTTAATTTTTACACTGTTAACTTTGTCCGGGACTCTAAAACTACAAAAGATATCAAGAAGAAACTACTTCTCTGTGTCCAAAACCTATTCGGAGAGTATCATCCGGTTCGATCGGCTATTGTTAACTTGTTGTTTTCTACTGAATGAATCTAATGGATTTGCTCCATTGTTTAAATTTGAACTGGAAAAGTCCCTTCAAATATTGAAAAATCATAAGCATAGAGCCTGGTCAAACTGCACAAATGTCCAGACTGGCTTGTCACTTTACTGGCCGCAAAGGCTAACAACTTTCGTTCTCGGCATAAAAGTTGAAATTTCCATAATTTATGTGGCAGCATATCCGAGTGATAAACGCATCAGATTAGTAATCTATGGATTGCTGTCCGTATTGGTTCAAACTCCGTCAGGATCAAGCCGATGTTTCTTAGTGCAAAAAACCTTACAAACTTTCTTAGCTTGGTACTGAACTTTTTTTTCTTCTGAAAAGTAAAAATATTCTTTCAGCGCCGACAATGGCATTTTCTGTACACCGGATACAAATCACTAAAAATAAAAATAGATTTCATTGTCAACATTTATTCTGTCAAATAAGATTCAAAACTTACTTGATTACCCCATGTATAATAGATATTTTGGTTCCGTTCTGGTAGAAATACCGTATTTCACATTGCATGTGTTAGGTTGTTGAACCACATGTGTCGTGAGACAAATTTTAAACGCCATTAATTGTATATCACGCGTAATATGTAAATACGTGCTATATATAAACACGTTCTGTTACAACATTTTTTTATATCAATCGGATTCATATTAAAGTAAAACAAACTGTCATCGAAACTCCTTTTGTAAAATTCAAATATAGATATTATGTGTAAGAGAATTTTTTATGAATATATTATGTAAAATACAAATGAATTTATAATTCTCAGATAAAGACGAATGTGCGTCATCGCCGTGTGAAAATGGCGGGAATTGTACAGACGGTATCAACAGATTTACATGTGACTGCGCGGCCGGGTACAGGGGACGAACATGCAACGTTGGTCAGTACGAAATTCATTAAAATTTAATTACGGTTTTTGAATGATACATTTAGTAACAATTGAATAGGCATTCCTTCATTTCCTGTTGAATTATGTAACTTAATAAAACAATTCATTGATATAAGCAAAAGTCTAGTTTCTTTGAGCCATCCATTTTGCAATTTATTTTACCGACAATATGTTTCTGTGTTTATTTACATGTAAATATTAGCAATGAACTATGATTAAACTCATATTTTTTATGATATGATTTATTTTAGATATTTGTATTAATAATAAAAATATACTGATACACTGAAAAGTTATTATTATTGTGTCATCATTAATTTTTATAACTGACTAAAATGATGTGTTGTTTTTGCATAATTTATTTTAATGTTTCTTCTCGACCATCGTTGTTAGAGGGTTGTGTTTAGAGGGTTGCGTTGTATTGATATATCATTTTAGCTTCATCATACATTGTGACTTTTTACATATTTAATGCCTTATTTTATTTTCAGAATGTTCAAACACAACCTATGGTCGTAACTGCAACCAGAACTGTGCATGTAACTCAAAAGGCACTATCTCGTGCGACAAAGTGAACGGCTCGTGTATATGTAATAACGTTTACAAAGGTGACACGTGCAATGACGACATTGACGAGTGCAATAACCCCTCTATATGTAATAAAACAAACGAGGGATGTGATAATATTATCGGAGGTTACGCATGCTCTTGTAGAAGAGGCTATGAAAGAAATAACGACACTGGCGATTGCGATCCAGGTATTATGTTTATAAAACAAACTCACTTTTTATTTTATTTAGCCTTTCACGTACTTATCATAAATGGGCTTGCCCCGTTCCGTTTTAGAACTATTTATTATTAAGTTAGGAGATGTCAGGATGAAAATGAAAGTTTGTTATTCATAAGAAGACATCACGAGTCTGGTTGCCAGCCTGCCTCTATACTGGTGGCAAAGTCTTATCGTTATATCATGGAAACAGGCAACCATTTTAGTGCTTTAAATATCTTTTTTGCACATTCAAAGATTTTTAAGTGTAGCAAATAATATTAAAATGAATTCGATTTTCTGTGATATTACCTTTCGGTATTAATAAATTAAAACATACATTTATATAGATACAAGTGCTAATTGAAAAAAAAATTTTTTTGTATTCAGATTATTCCTGCATTACAATTTGAATAAGTTATCTTATTCATACAGAACATTAGTTTGTAAAATAAAGGGCAATGTCCAACAAACCTGTTATAATGTGTACCCTGTACTGCGATGACAAACATGTGCACGGAAGCATTTGCTACATAACTTTAACTTGTACGCGTACACGTTTATCTACCGTTATTAAATCATTTTGAGACATCGCCTTTTTTTCTAAATATAATTTTGATTATGTTTTCGAAAATATGTTTTTGTTTACTTGCGACTTAATTTTTATAAACTGTCGATTAATACACAATGTTTTTGTAAACTATTTGTCTACTTGAAAATCACCGTTTATTTTGTTTTATTTTTCAGTTACAACAACAACTACAACCACACAGATTCCAAGTATGTGTTTTAAATATAAGTCCCTTTAATACATTTTATTTAATTGACATTTCTAGATTTATGTAATCGATATAAACACAAGTTAACATTGGTTTCTTCAATTTATGTTCTCTTTGTTTGTCATTTTATTACAATTAAGCATCTTTGTGTTTTTAAATCATTTTCAATTTAGCAACATGGTGTTTATAAATTTTCGAATCAAGCCGTTGTTTTAATGTGACGTCAGCAATGTCAATTGAAATTATTAAATTTCTTCAATTAAATTTTGTGTGACACCATATTTTACATATTCATATTGAAATTTTAATTCATACAAGTTATACACATTGGTCATATTTTCACATATCTAACAATTTTCAGGTACCCAGACGGTGACAAGAGTAAAAATAAAATTTGACGTCACATTAGGTGCTAATGTGGATCTAGAGGTGCAAATAACATATGCTAAATACGAAAAAGAAGTTAAAGATCAGGTAAAATTAGAGCTAAAAAATTTTCCGGTCACTTTTTGCATATCATACTATTGCTTTTTCGTTAATAAGGGGATAACTGTCTATACCTCATGTATACAGACTACAAGCATATTCCGTGCATTATTTCAGTCATGATAAAAACGCTTGGTTTTAAATCGCATGCTTTCATGTAAACCTTAACTGAAATGTAAGCAAATATTTATTTAATTTCAATAATTCAAAATAAATTCAAACATAAAGATGAAGATTTTCTAGATCCATTGTTTGTTGACCACATCTGGAATACCTGCATGGCATTACTGTGGACTTCTTAATTAATAGTTAGATTGATGTGTTAGCAGTGTGGTGTTTTTGTGTCGCCGCTACAAAGTAGCAGGGACATATAGTGATCTCTGTTCCGTCGTCTGTCTGTCCGTCACAAACATTGTCCGAACTACTTCTTAAACACTGCTGGTGTAATTCCACCAGGAATTATCAGTACCCTGTTAGTACATTTTTCAGTTGTATGATTTTTGTCAGAGTTATGGCCCTTTGTTTCTTTGGTTTTTGTTTTGCCTACGTCTCTTCTACCAGTGATGAAATTTAAATGAAACTTCATAGGATTGATCGGTAACTCAAGTACTAGAGCATTTTGTCTTTGAGTAAAATATGCATTTTGGCCTGATTTTTGTGTCTCCTGCTACACAGTAGCTGAAACATGCTACAAAGTTAAGCCGCGACGTATAGAGAGCAAACTGGCCAATCAACCAGCAATACAATCAAGCGATAATTACTGACCGTTCCTGTATTATATTTTCAACAAAGAATAAAACGAAAGTGTGAATGATTCAATAAGGGATAAGTATGGTAAATGTATGTTCACAATATAATTATGCCAATATCAAAATAAGTAAAATAACCTTTTCTTAATAGTTGTTTACACACGATGTCGTTTGTTTCGCATTTTAATTTGATAAAATATGTCATATCATTTTACCTACTTGCATATACTAGAAAATATATCATTGTACTTTTCAGCTGACCATAAAGTATAAAGTCAAGCTTGGTAACAGAGCATTTACAATTGTCATCAGATCACTTGTGTAAGTAGGATCAACTTCCGGTGCAAAAAGGATAAAATCATTTGAATGCAAGCTTTCAGGATATTGTTACAATAAAATACCCGACCTATAATGTGAAGCTAAAGTTATTTTTCACTCGTTAGCATCGGCGTTTATTAACCTTTTAAGTTGTTTATTGCTAATGACTTCAATAAAGCTGATATATGTAATATAATTAGTTCTACCTTCAAAGCTTCAGATCAATTGACAATGTCACTGGGACCTTTCATAACAAAACTGAAAGACTGGTCATTTAATCAAAGTGCATTGAATTAAGATCTTAAAATTTTGTATGTAAATGCACAATGATACTCCCTGCCTATCACATATTGTGAAAATGACTAACAATTGCTCCATATAAAATTTGAAAATGGAAAAGAATATCTAAGATAGGTTATCTTTCTTGGTCAGGTTCTGAGTTTCTTTTGCCACATATGATATAAGAAAATATTTTTAATTCTATTAATTAATTAAGTTACAAACATCACTTTGAATGTAACTCAACTGTAGGATGTGTACTTTTTAAATAGGTTTATTTGCAAATTGTTGTTTGCCGTTATTAGAACTGAAACACAAAATTGGTGATTTAATTTTTATATAGATAAAAAAAACATCATATTTAAATGTGAAAATGGTGCACAGTGCTTTAAATGTAAAAATATTATGGGTAGTAATCTAATACTTTTGAATTTTTGTTTATTTCCTGATGTATGATTGTTATATCATACTATTATTCCTTATTTGCTCTCCGTCAATGAGTGAATTTATTTCACCAAAAATGTGTATGGTTTTCCTTTTTCTTTCTTCAGAAAGGGCAGTCTTGATGTAGAATATGACGTCATCACAGACAAAGTAGACGCTCCGAAAGTTGCCGAGGCCAATAATGAAATAGCAACAGATAAAGTTGGCATCACCATATTTAATGAAACTGCACTACCAGCTGAGATGACAGTGAACGAGCAATCAGGTAACACTTAACCAATATTTTTATATAAAGACTTGTTAAATTATTATTATTACATGTACTACTATTAATATTATAATTACTAGCATTACTATTATCATTACTGTTATGATAATTATCATTACATATATTATTTTATCATTACTGGTATTATTATTTATACTCTTTATTTCCGCCTTTCAGCGATTACAACATTATTATTATTATTATTATTAATATCATTATTATAATTATTATTATCATTATTATTATAAGTATTATTACTATCATAACTAGTATTAGTATTATCATTTTTACCATTATTAGCATTATAATTACTAATAATAGTATTGTTATTATTACTTTTAGTATCGTTATTATCATTACTATTATAGTTTTTTTGTTTGTTTTTTTTTTCAATTTACTGTTTTTTCTTTTTCTTTTTTGTAGATATTTGTTCCGTTTCGTTTCACTTTTCGTTTTTTGACATATTTCTGTATATAATTTCAGTTCCGGTGAATGTAACAAGTACAGATGCTGTAAAATGTCAGATATATGAGGCTACAACAGGGAAATGTACTGGAGATTTTATATGTGACGTCAAAGATGGAAGTCCAGGCTGTGTGTAAGTATGAATATGTAATTTCATAAATTGTCCGTGCAAGGCTATTTTATATAATTTTGTCTTACGGACTGTTGTTGTCAAAAATAAACCTCTGAATAGAATACAGTAAAATACCTCTATTAAGACCACCTGGAGCAAAGTGGTCTTAATGTGGGATGATCTCATTAGTGGACATTTTCATAGTAAATGGAATTTTTTTTTGCATTCTTGTGAAAATGGTTTAAAACAAGTTTAATGATTGTGACTAGTGCCTTATTTGTATTAGAATTTTGAAAGTTTTCACTGACCGTTTATAGGGTGGCTCAAGCAGGTGGAAAGGGGTTGACCTGCAACTGTGGTCATTTTGTATGAATATGTTCAAACAATAAGTATTGTAACCTTCAAATATGAGGATATCAGAGGCCTTAATTTGATTAGAACATAATGCTATTCCGGAGAAATAGATATTAATGATTAAATTCTCATTGGTCTAGGTTCAGTAATGTATAATATTCATCCATCAAATAAGTCTTTAGTTCTTCACTAAATGTATGTGCAGAAGGCAACTTTAATCGAATCTGAAATTTTTTTCTCACCTAACTTTATGAGCGAGATGGTCCTTATTGAGAATCCTCTAGCCATTAACATAAAGAAGAGAAGAAAAAAAACTTTCTTTTAAAAAATGGTCTTGATAGTGGGATGGTCTTAATTCCGGGGTGGTCTTAAAGTGGGTTTCTTTGTACTTTATTACTGTTTTAGTTTCTGGTATGTTAGTGAAGAGGTAACAATCATTAACTTTTATATATTTTCTTTTTCAGACGGAAGGATGATGACGGTAAGACACATAGTACACATTTATTTAAGTCAATCTTAATTATATTCCAAATCAATGCGAACGCTCAATGTAAATTGTAGACATCAATTTGCTATTTCCTTACATAAAATAAAAAAATCAGATATTATTGCATATAAGGAAGCAAGACAATTAGTCTTACTTTTTATCCATCGTAATTCAATAGTAACTGGAGACTGAAATTTATTCAAATTTACTATTTCTAAATTAAGGAAAATCTTACGTTTTAGTTAGTTTTTGTAATAAAGAATACTTAAGGGTCTTCTCTTACTCATTGCTCCAAATATTAAAATTTCAAGATATTATTATTTTTTAATTTTAGAAAAAAATATAACATTAACTTAATTGTATTTTAGTTGGAATGTTATATAAAATTTATCTATGATCATATTTCAGATAACCTAGATTTAATCCTTGGTCTAGGTATAGGAATACCAGCATTCTTAGTTGCCGTGGCTGTAGTAGTTCTGTGTGTAGCCTACTATCACAACAAAAATAAACTTCTACACCGCAAATACAGGTACAAACCATGATTTTATTCACTCTGAAACTGAGTTTTGTATGTATATACTTAAGTTTAGTTATTGTCTTTAATTTTAGTTACTTTCATTGCATAAGTTCTGACTCAATGATCAATAATTATAGTTTGAAATCGTTGTTTGTTTTTGTTGTTTTTTATGCCCCCACAATGTGGGAGCATATAGCGTTGCACTTGTCCGTCTGTCTGTCTGTCTGTCCGTCCGTACGTCCCGAAATCTTGTGAACGCAACTCCTCTTAAACCGGATGGCAGATTTTGCTTAAACTTGCAGGGATGAACAACCTTAATGTGTAGATAGTAGTAAAGGAAGGAATTTTTGCTGCGACCAAATTTAAGAGAATTATGGCCCTTTGTTGATTTTTTCACTATATACTTTGTAGAAATTTTGTGAACGCAACTCCTCTTAAACCGGATGACAGATTTTGCTTTAACTTCCAGGGATGAACAATCTTAATGTGTATATAGTAGTAAAGGAAGGAATTTTTGCTGCGACCAAATTTAACAGAATTATGGCCCTTTGATGATTTTTTCACTAAATACTGTGTTGAAATTTTGTGAACGCAACTCCTCTTAAACCGGATTGCAGATTTTGCTTAAACTTCCAGGGATGAACAACCTTAATGTGTAGATGGTAGTAAAGGAAGGAATTTTTGCTGCGACCAAATTTAACAGAATTATGGCTCTTTGTTATTTTTTAGTTTTCAACTTGTGGCACATGTAGTCAAAAAATATTTGACATAGAGTCATAAGATTGACAGAACAGTGGTGTGTGGGGGCATCCGTGTCCTATAAACACATTTTTAGATTTGTTGGTTTTTGTTGTTGTTGTTGTTTGTTGTTGTTGTTTGAGTGTCCAAAGTTCAAAAATGATCATGTGTACCATTCTGGCTGTTTCATCATATGCTATGTTAATATGCCATAAAATCCATTTCATGACATGTATAAAAAAATTATAAATATGACCTAGTGTGTACTATTTGGTGGGAAATGTGATGTGTTGATATGACGTATGGTTTTTCCTCTGACTAAATATGTTATGTGTATTTGACGAAGTATTTATCTTATATTATATAAAAATTAATTTTCTATACAATTCAGGGGTGACGACTATGATGAAAGAAGTAATGAGATGTACGACCGGAAGTTGCCTGTTCGAGCCAATACTGGCCCTCCAACCTGGCCGTTCATAGCGTCCCCGGAATACGCAGAATATGGTCCTTACTCTGATTATTCTAGAGATGGTGGACAACGTTATTTACCATCTGAAGATTTCCATGGACAATATGATAACCGTATGTGATAAATTTTTTCTCTAGTATTCATTTTATTTACTATTTATTGTACTACTATTTTAATTCGCATTGATAGCCGTGCGCCAGTGTGTTTGATTTTTTTTGGAATGATTTAACTTTTTTTCTGCTATGAGCATTATATGGAATTCCATTTGAAAACAGTCTGTGAAATTACTATGAAAATTAAAGGTTGGCAAGGCAACATCAGAGGACATGGTCACGTTGTACGAATGTATTTATATATTTATTTATTTATTGTAATCTTAGTTATATTTATATTTTCAGAAGGTGCTCACGACCGTGATAGTAACAATTATACCTGGGACTATTTGTTCTCTCACCTTCGCCCTGGTGAACAGGTAAATGATGATATCTGCTTGTAAATATTAACCCTTAATCTGCTGAATATCTTAAATGGACTTGTCCAGCTTCCATTTTGGAACCGTTCATTGTCAAATTAAGGGATTTAAAAACGGAAATTTGTAAATTGTCAGCCAACAGTTTAGGGCGTCGTCAAATTAAATGGCAGTGCAGGCTCTCTGGCTCTATGCTGATTGGCAAAGGCTAGTCCATTTCGGTTTCAGCAGGTATTCGTATCCACGAGTGACACATCTCGTGAGTGCCAAAAAAACGAAAAGAAAAATAATTGCTAAATGGACTTATAGGTCGCCGCATTTTACTTAATTAAATTTGTACCTTTCATGTCCAATTATTTTTATGAATCATCAACTCTAATAGCAAATTACAATAATTTAATTATTATATCAACAATTCTACAATGTATTTCCTTACAAATTATCAAATTTTAATCATGCATGTGACTTTAAGTTTACGGCACACCGAAATTATGATGCAGCAGAATTACTTTATGTGCAAGAAATTGAAAATCGGTTTATAAACTGTCAGCTACTGTGTATATAGATGATATAGATTATATACACGTCACATTATCCTATGAAAAATGACGTCACATACTAAATCTAATGCGATGAGATTTTTTACTAAAGATATTTGATATTGTGAAGCGATATGTCACATTAAGCCATATTTTTAAAAGAAATATTTATAAAATAGCCCTGTTAAGTTCTCAAAACAACTATTCCTTTTATGGATATCTTAAATAATTATATTTTTCATGTTTAATTATGTTTTATATAGCGATATTACCCTTATTACAACTAAGTGGTGAGCATTTTTCTACCGGGCTACAACTAGGGTGTTTGTGTAAGACATGTAGCCCCAGATATTTGTACATTTTGTGTATTTTATATACCGAAAATACCATATGTCCCCATTATTGTGAAACCTTGTCTAATAAACACAAATTATACATTATAGTATATAATTAAAGTGCACAAAATGGTGATGGGAAGTTTCAAGTTTTATTTTATTCAAATTTTGTAATTATGTCCTCAATATGTGTACATGTATATATGATATAGAGGATATTTGTTAAGTTCAGTGTAAGATCGGAATATATTTCACCGAGTGAGCACCAAAAGGTATATTTCACGAGTGGCGCAGCCACGAGTGAAATAAAAACATTTGGTGTTCACGAGGTGAAATATATTTCGATCTTACACTAAACTAAACAAATTTTCTTTTTATTACATGCTAAGAAACGTTTAAAAAGACATTTAATCCTAGTACTAAATGAAAAGCGCGCCAAATTCTAATACAACGTGACGTCATTTACGACGTCATGTCATTAAGCTGGTTTCCAGTACTGTGCACGCTGGTATTTCACTGAGACAACGTAACGGGCTTAAATTCAAAACAGTGAAATTATCAAATTGATAAGTTTATAAATCACTGATATATTTCTATAATCAACCGAAAAGCATGTAATAAATAAAAGTTAATTCATAAGTTTGGTATGTCTTCCTACATTAACATCAATATTTAAGACTAAACAATTGAATTTAGAGATATGCTAGTATTGGATGCTATTTTTGGTTCACTTATGGAATTTTATTGAAATATCTGCTAACACTTGATGTATAGTTTTGCAAAGGGTCATGACGTTACACTAACAAAACTTTTATTTTTGTTAAGGTCATGGTGAACGGTGTATTAACATTTACTGATGTCTTTATTATAAAAAATTTAACTTTAAAAAGTTTTTAATTTGTTTTTAATTTAATCAATCCCTGATGATGTAAATAACATTTTTTAATTTAAAATATTTAAGACAGAAAAGATTTTAAAAATTTTTAGCAAAAATTTGTCCCTTTTTGTTTTGAAATTTAATTATAGTTTACAAAGATATTTGATTTCTGATAGAAAATCTCATTCTTATTTTTTTCTGAAATTTTAAAGTACCAAATAAAAGACCCAAAGTTGTTTTAAAAGTAAAGGGAAAACAAACAAAAATTGAAAAAAAAACAAAAAAAATTTACAATGGGTTTTTGGGTGCAAAATTTTCTTTCTTTATTTTGGATCTAAAAGAAATTTTTTTAACTTGATTAAAAAAAAGTTTTTAAAAAACTAGATTTTTAAAAGTAGTTTTTTAAATTTAAAAAATCTAAAAGTATTGTTTTAACTAGATCTAAAAGTATTGTCTTAACTTTATCTGAAAGTATTGTTTTAACTTGCACACTATGGATATAATGAGTGTTCCATGCCGACATTCATTTTTTTGTGGAATAAATGAATTGACATGATTGCAAATTAAATTTTTTCAGTTATCATACAATTTAAGATTATTGTTGACATTTTCAATGTTTCAAAAGGAAATTTAACCCTGTTATATCGTATGATTATTTCAAAATTAATTTGCTCATACGCATTACACATGGCATTTATATCGTTTTGTTGATGTCATATCCTTATTAATCATACCTCAAATATCGTCCATTTTTATCTATATTTATTAATCAGAACAATAATCCGGTTTTTTTGACCGGAACACATTATAATTGTTGTCATATATAGTTAAACAGATATCATCGTGTAAACCACGTGATCTAAACGATTGATATAATCAGTAGAAAATGAACAATTGCTGGCGTTGTTTTGACATATGATTATTTTAAGTTTTCCAGTGTAAACTTTCACTAATTAGAAACTGAAAACATTTTTGTTTACATCCTTTTTTAATTTCTCTTTCGCTATTTTCACTTTCGATTAATTTAAAGGATTACAAAAACCGGTATTAATTATGCTTACAAATATCAGATAAAAAAAGAACCTTGCAAAAATAATTGTTTAGAGTCAAGTTGTTACAAATAGTTGTAAGATATTGTTCAAAATATAGTATCATTTTTTTAAATAATAAAATTGTTTATATTAATAATATGTTATACATTTATTTAATTACATTTAGAAATAGCTGCCGATTTTTGAAAATTAATCAGACGTCCATTTTGACTGCTTAATATCTTAAAATGGACTTGCTCATTTTAATCTGGACAATACCATTCACTTTGTAGGGAAAACCTTAAAATATGAATGGTAACGACAGTTCACGTGACACGGCTGTTCCGGCTGTCCTCGGTCTGCGCTAATCACGTGGGTTGAATCTAATGTTGTTTACTTTTTCAATGTATGGTTCAAAGCATAATATAGCTATAAAGAGTGTGTATTCTATGAGTTTATAATTTTAAGCATATTATTTTTCTGTGTTAATTAGGAGTGTTTCAATCATACTATTTTTGATATGTCATAATAGATTTATTCACATATTCATTTTAGTCTCTATATATATTTGAAGTTATAGGAATACATTTTGATAAGTCTTGCTCATATTGTTTTGTTTATAATACTCTAGAAAATATCTGTATATTTGCAGTTCTTAAAATAGACCGATATACAAAAAGTTAGACAATTCTGTGTTGTCATCAATATAAGGTTATAAATGTGTCGAACATTGTGATGTCCGAACATGTGGATCCAGAACTTGTCTTATAATTTATAAAAAGATCTGCGTAAAATCCTGCTTTCATTTTAATATCCAAAAAAAATTATTTAAACAAATATCGCTTTTTTATATCGTTCTTTATAAATTTTAGCTTTAACAGAAAAAGCTCACACATGATGAAATGAAATTACAACACCAAAAACATGGGTGCTAGGGTCATGAAAAATGTGACGTAATATACATGTTTAAAACGTCATCTTGTTAGATGAGTGTGTGTTTTCGTGTCAAATTCATACTTTGTCATTACAATAAGCCTATTATTTACATACATACATTCATACATTCCATTTGTAGAAATATATTATAAAATAAATTATTTTTATTTTGTATAATTTATATATGAATAAATATGATATTAAAACATAACGATATGCGTTTTTATTTGAATTAAACATTTGTGTTGTTAATATTCAAATACAACTATGAAAATGGTCTTCATTTACAAGTGAAGGACTATTGTCCAGCCGCACAAGCGGACATTGAACTTCATTGACTGCTTTGTGTCTATGAAAAAACACCCTAATATTCCTGGAAGTTTTGGACAACTGGATCAGAGTCAGTGTCTTTAACAACTGCCCCACATACCTCAAAATTACACCAGATCTTTTTTTTATTTTCATTTGTCTTGTAGTGTTTATATTATTCCCCCCCCCCCCCCAGTTTGGCATCTCTGATAAAATTTAAACAAGAACGCTTACTGCACAAGGCTTAACCGTGTTTCCATGGAGACACATTTTAGTTACCTACCTTTAAACATTAAGAAGCTTCGGAAATATTTCATTTGTTGGGAGTTGTAACATTCTACAAAAGGTGCGAGGTTTTATATTCAGCATAAACAGCAAGTTAAGCATAACCAGTATGATTCAGAATAAAATTCATTATTCTTACACAGTATGCAGACGCCTTATTTGATCTTGATGTCTTTTTCTTTTTCGTATAAATACTTTATAACATTTACATAAAAAGATTATTATGTAGCAGGTAGTATATATAATCAAATTCAAGTCATCCTGATAAAACTATTGCGTATGCGAAAAGCGTATGTTATAAACATGGAGCCTGTCATGCCTTGAATGTAGATATTTAAAATCATTTATTGTTAATGTTTTTTATCCGTTGGTATTTAAAACGCTTTTACATAAAAAGGATTTGGGCTTTACATTATAAGCTGTTTACTTCTGCATTATCTTAACAGAATCACCAAATTTGTACAGACTGACGTATACATGTTCGGGAACAATTGTGCATATGTATATTAACAGATGCAACATTTTTTCAAATCTGCCAAAAATTTCTATTTTTAGGATATGTACACTAAAACAGATTGTTAGGATGTCTGTGTATTTGAAATTCTTTTGGTACCTGTAGTTGTTGTTCCATTATTTCCTGATGTGTTACGTCATTATCAGTGTTTTCATAAAAAAAAACAGATCGAGTTACTGGGAGCGAGTAGGAGCACATGGTAGATATTTGATGGATCAGAGATGAAACAATCTTGGGGATGATTTTTACGGACGCCACACAGTTCTACGTAAATACGATACCGCAAATATGTATGCATATTAATTAGTGAAAGTATGAAGATTACCCTCTTTGATAAAGAGATTGGATAAACCTTAATGTACGTGTACGCACTATAACCCTTTGTTTATGGAAAATATACGGTT